TCCCACACCCACCTATCTATCTACTTGAGATCTCATAGCGAGAGTGCATTCCGGGGCAAAGCTGCCTTCGTGTTGGGCGCCACCACTACTACACCGACTCTCCTACTGGCTCCTTCACTCCGAGGCAGCAGGCCGGGGGAGGGGAGGGAAGGTGGTTAGTCAGAGGGGACAGTCCGACGTGCGAGGTTGAGCAAAACCCGACGACCACCCACGGCATCCTGGTCGCCACCCTTCGGGGTCTCTTCCCTCCTCTCTCCCCTTTTCCTCCTCGCTTTCTGCTTCATAGACGGAGCAAGAAGTCCGCGCTCGCATCCCACGCTCCGTTCACTTCTCCGCCCCTCGGTGGGACCCGATCGGACCGAACGTGCGGTTTATTGATCCTCTTCCTCGCCCTGTCCCTCCACAATCGAGGCTAATCATGGGCCTCGTGCAATAGTCGCACGTTCTTTTTAAGCAGGGGTCTCCAACCTTGGCAACTTTAAGCCTGGAGGACTTCAACTCCCAGAATTCCCCAGCCAGCTTTCCTGTGGAGTGTAGAGAAGGGTACACAGGTGTCATGGCAAATTGGCAGGGCCAATGGGAGGGCCAGTGGAGGCATAGAAGGGGTGGCAGAGGCCTTGGCCAGAGGACAAGGTGCTGTGGGCAGGCATGCACTAAAGCAGGGGTCTCCAACCTTGGCAACTTTAAGCCTGGCGGACTTCAACTCCCAGAATTCCCCAGCCAGCAAAGCTATTAAGCTATTGAAGCAAAGCTGGCTGGGGAATTCTGGGAGTTGAAGTCCGCCAAAGTTGACAAGGTTGGAGACCCCTGCTTTAAAGACGAGCATTGTGTTGGGCGGAGGGGTGTGGAGTGGGGTTGGGGGACATATTTCCCGCCTTCACTCTTGGAGGCTTTCATCTGACGTGAGGAGAGGGCCGAGGAAGAGGAAGAAAAACGAGCCCACCCAAAAGCAACGGTGACGGGAAAGGGTGCTCTCCTTTCAACCCCCGTCGAACTTCCTTCCCGTCGCTTATGGACGCGTGTTCGGGTGTGTTTAAACTCGGTTGTTTCTACAGAGAGTCGGGCAAGGATTTCCCCCCCCCCCCTCCCCGCCCGAAGAATCATCTATCCCTCTGGTTGGAGTGGACTGTCGACCGCGGGGAGAGGGGAGGCTGGACGGCACCGCGCCCTTTGCGCTGGTTGCCCGGGTCCCTGTCTCTTGCCCGGCCGCTGAACGGGGATGCATTTCCTCGCCTGTCTCTGCAGCGCCCTCTCTCGGACCACACGGCCCATCGCTCCCAATCGCCAGCTCTGTATTGCGTTGCTTAGAATTATACAGCTCTCTCTCCCGTCCCGTGTTCGGGACTTCGACCACTCTAAGGATGGCGCTGGTTAAAAGGGAAAGTTGCAAGGAGAGAAAACGGTAGATTTCCAACTCTTTTTGTCCGTTGTTCAAGATGGGCATCAGTACAGAATAGAGGGAATACTGGTTTGGGCAGGGGTGAAATCCACCAGGTTCTGACAGGTTCTGGAGAACCGGTAGTGGAAATTTTGAGTAGTTCGGAGAACCCGCAAATACCACCTCTGGCTGACCCCAGAATGGGGTGGGAATGGAGATTTTGCAATATCTTTCCCCCAGGAGTGGGGACGGAGTGCGGATTTTGCAGCATTCTTCCCCTGCCACGCCCACCAAGCCACACCAGCCTACCAAGCCACGCCCACAGAACCGGTAGTAAAAAAAATGGATTTCACCACTGGGTTTGGAGCCTCAGATCAGGGGTGGGTTCTAATTTTTTTTACTTCCGGTTCTGTGGGCGTGGCTTATTTTTTGGGCATGGCTTGATGGCCATGTGACAATTCTTTAGGATTTAGCAGAGGTATTGGTCTACCAGGCTTTTAACTGCTTGCAGAGATGTACCAGTCTACTCATTTGTTTTTGGAGGCACCGTTCTACTCATTTGTTTTTGGAGGCACTGGTCTACCCATTTATTTTTGCAGGTATCGGTCTACTCATTTGTTTTTGGAGGCATTGGTCTACCCATTTATTTTTGCAGGCACCGGTCTACTTATTTGTTTTTGGAGGTAATGGTCTACCCATGTATTTTTGCAGGCACTAGTCTACTCATTTGTTTTTGGAGGCACCCGTCTACCACCACACTGCCTTTTAACACTGATCAGCTGTAGGGTGCCCTTTGAAGCCCCACGCAAGAGTTTAAACAGTTTTTTTCCTTATAGCCCATCAGCTGGGACTCAGGAGGCAGCAATAGATTGGGGGTGGGGCCAAATAAAAGGTAAGAATAATGCGGGGGGGTGGGGGGGTGGAGGGCAGAACCGGTTCGGTGATATCATATCGTCACTGCTACCGGCTCAGCGGAACAGGGAGGAACCCACTGCCTCAGATGCTCTGCAAAAATACAATTCCAAGTATTTTGTTTCTCTGACTCAACTATAACTCATTTCCTGTTAAGGTATTTTCTAGCAGGTTGGCTGGGCATTTCACTTCCAGTCGGTCTCCCTTGGTTTCCCTTTAATTAGCATCATCCTTAAGCGATTGAGATCTATTATATTTTTAAAAATATTTTTTCATTTGCTTTTCTCACTTACAAAGCATTTAGTACCGTTTTAATATTACAAATAATAATTGGAATTTAGTAAAGGCCAAAGATTTTATTCTATATATTCAAAAGGGCAACTACTACAGGATGCAGATGTCAATAATGATCATGGCAAGATCTTTTGAAAGTTAAATGCCAATTCTTCCACAACTTCACTGGTTTTACGTTTACTTCTGAACTTCGTTTTGAGTTTTTGCAAGCCCCACATGGCCTGAATCTGTAACACCTGAATCAGAACAGAGGCCCTTCTAATTCCAGATTTTGCAGTTTTAGTTTCATACTCTAACCACCATGAGCTGAATGCACCTACGTAGTTCACTAGAGAGCAGTAATTTCCATGTAGTTATATTTCCTAATATAACTAGGATTCAAGGTATTCTGCCTATGATTCAAGGATATTTAGTAAAACTGCCATCAATTTTAACAGAATGACAGAGTTATTTATTTATTTTTGTTTATTAGTTTGATTTATATGCCACCCTTCTCCAGAGACTCAGGGCGGCTTACAATGCATTAAGCAATAGCCTTCATACTTTTGCATAAACCTGCTTAGTAGGGCTTTCGGGGGCTCCTAAGCAGTGTTCTTTTTTATACAAAGTCAACTTATTGCCCCCACAATCCGGGTCCTCATTTTACCTACCTCGGAAGGATGGAAGGCTGAGTCAACCTTGAGCCTGGCAAGATTTGAACTCGCAGTAATTGCAGGCAGCTGGCAGCTTAAGTGCTACTTAACAGCACTTTAGTCCACTGCGCCACAAAGGCTCCTGGTGTTAGAAGGGACCTTGGAGGTTTTTAGTCCACCCTCCTGCCCAAGCAAGACACCCTATACCATTCTGGATAAAAGGCTGTCCAATCTCTTCTTTAAAAACCTCCAGTTTTGGAATACCCCAAACTCTTGAAGACAAGCCATTCCACTGAATAATTGTTCTTACTGCTTGGAAATTCTCCTTAATTCTAGGTTGGATCCCCCCTTGATAAGTTTCCATCCTTTACTTCTTGTCCTACCCTCAGATGCTTTGGAGAATAGGTTGACCTCTTCCCTGTGACAGCCTCTCAAACATTGGAAGTCTGCTATCATGTCACTCCTAGTACTTCTCTTCATTAGACTAGGCATACCCAATTCCTGCAACCATTTATCCTATGTTTTAGCCTCCATCTCCTCAATCATCTTTGTTACTCTTATCTGCACTCTTTCCAGAGACTCAACACCTTTCTGTATTGCGGTCATCAAAACTGGTTGCTGTATTCCAAGTGTAGTCTTATGAAAGCAATATAAAGCAATACTAACACTTTCATGTGATCTTGATACTATCCCTTTGCCTAGGATTATATTGGCCTTTTTGGCAGCTGCAGCACACTGCTGGCTCATATTCAAGTGGTTGTCCACTAGGACTCCTTGACCCCTCTCACAGTTATTTTAGTAACCTTAGAGATCCAGATCCTCCAGGAAGTTGTTCAATATCCTTTTGAAGCATCCAGTTTGACTATCCCAGACAGCTCCCAGAGAAGTCCACAACTGGACCTCTGCAGTATGTTTTTATTGGCCACTTGAAGTCACTTGAATGTGTTAGTTGTGTCTTCTCCAGAAGAGAGTCATCCATGAGAGTTTGGATATCCTTACCAATATTAGTATGAAGAATGACTTTTCTGGATAGACCTACTTAATTATTACAACATTTAAAAATCAACTTCTCAAGTAGGTGCACTAGAATTCAGCGCATTTCTTTCCTGCATGGACTTTTATGGTAGCCTCCAAATGCCTAAAACAGGTTTTAATTTTATTAACAGGGCCCTGAGATTGCATGACACATTATTGATTCTATTTATAGTTTCAGCATATAAATATTTTATTGCTGTATTGTTATTTTAGAATATTGTTTAATAATTTCATTGTTGATCATACTTTAAATGTCATTAAAATGCTTTGGGATTTCTGGAATGAAAGAGGGAAGCATAAATATTTCATTAAAAGACATGGAGAGAAAAGTGGAAGAGGCCCACGATAATGTCATGCTCGCAAATAAAAATATCTGAATATTTGAACATTTGCTTATACATAATCAGAAGGATGTGTTTTGCCAAATTTCCAATTCAAAGCCTGCAAAATCTCTGGGTGCTGTATGTAAAGAACCTTCCCATGTCTGCGTACAAAGTACAGGAGCAAATCAACTGTGATTCAGTGCAACCAGATGTGGAGAACCAGATTGGAGAATAAACAGTAGACCTGTCAATGATTCCTCAGGAGGAGGCAGCAGGACAAACCAATAGGATGATGAGGGGTGTCAAATAGGGCATTTTCCTCCAGAGGATTGGAGGAAAAGCCAAACATTGACCTGCTTTCGTCAAAGGTCACCTTAGCTGCAATAGAACCTCAATCCTCTTCTAAGTCTTGTCCTTGTCCAGCAGTCTGTCAGGTACCAGCCTTCCCTTACAAGCTATGTCTACTCTGAAAGCAATTTGTGCTGGACTCCCCCTCCATCCTCCTCCAGAGAACAGAGGCCGAAAGAATGGAATCTCTCATGCTCCTGTGAGAAGCCCAAATCTCACTGCAAGTGAAGAAAAAGTAAGAGTTTGTACAATTCTTCTCTCTCCTATTTTCCATGAAAAATCTCTCCGTTAGCTAGAGCTACAGGCTCTGCATTCCTAAAATGTCCCCTAGAACTGAGTTGGGCGAATCATCCCTGATAGACTTAGATCTGCTTCTTAAAGCAAGTCTGGTGGTCTCTTCCCAGCTATATTATTGATAGCTACCAGTTGTGAAAATAAACACTGCAGAGTTCTATTATTATATTGCCCTTAATGTCTTTCTATCAGGTCTGTTGAGTTCCAATGCATATCTCTGCTCATCACACCCTTAACAACATGGTGGTGTTCAGGAATTCCCAATTTTTCAGCATTATGAAGTCCTGTTGCTGGGACTTTCTGAGTGTTTCTTTATGGTTCTGTTCAGTAAAAATGTGAGGTCCTTCTGCATAGACAAGGCCCTTTTGAAATGGGAGTAGCAGTATTAATAGAAATAATAATGACTTATCACACTTATCTTAATTCAAGGAAACGATGATAGCAAACATAACCTGAGGAACAGACCTATATATTGTGTCTATTTGCCATTTGAATTTGTAATAATAATTTTTTTGTTCCAGTGTTTTATGTCATGTCCCTTGGTTTCTGTAAATGATATGTAGCTTTTTTTAATAAGACTGTGTAAAGGCCAATATCCATTCATTAGTTGATTTTAATATTCTTGAATAAATCAAAACATATTTGCCAGAATTTTCTTCTAGTTATTTCCTGAATTCTCTTGCTTCCAAACTGCTTTGTGGATTGAAATATGTGACAGTAACATCTTTCATGTTCTTTTTCTTCCTCTGAAACCTAAGCAGGTTAATACTTTGCCTCTGTTTTCACTGCCCATTCCCTTAAGGTTAACTTGGGATTGTCTTCCTGCTTTTCACTCTCAAAATAGAAGAATAGAATAGAATAGAATAGAATAGAATAGAATAGAATAGAATAGAATAGAATAGAATAGAATAGAATAGAATAGAATAGAATTTTTATTGGCCAAGTGTGATTGGACACACAAGGAATTTGTCTTGGTGCATATGCTCTCAGTGTACATAAAAGAAAAGATACATTTGTAAAGAATCATAAGGTACAACACTTAATGATAGTCATAGGGAAACAATCAATATAAATCTTAAGGATACCAGCAACATTACAGTCATACAGTCAAAACATAGAAAACACCCTTTCAGCAATGAATAGAAGCCAAAAAGGAGACTGAAATGCTAGTGATAGAGGCAAGAGAGGTGGGAATTCTTACAGGTGGGGGACCAGGGTGCCCAAATGTTTTGCTGGATAGGTGCTTTTGCCTATATATCCATTTCAGTACCTCATTGGATAAGCTAGCAGAAGTGGTGATGTTTGTTTGCATGAGCATAGAATCATAAGGCTGGAAGGGACCTTGAGGGTCTTCTAGTCCAACCCCCTGCTCAAGGCAGGACCCTTACTGTATATCATCCTAGTCAAATGGTTGTCCAGTCTATTTTTGAAAACTATAAGTGATGGAGCACCCACAAGTTTGGAGTAGCATTGGCAATAAGATTCATTCTGTGCTGGAAGTGTCTGCAGGGGTTTGTGTGTCAAAGTCTTGATAACACTTGTGGCAGCATCTTTGAAACTTCCTCCTCCTCCTCCTCCCCCTCTGCATGTTAGAAGGATAGGACTCCAATTATATGATCACAGGCATTATCTTGAAATCTCCCCCCCCCCCTCACCACTCTGTGATCACCTTGTTCTGTACTGCATATGAAAGCAGGAGATCAATTTGTGGAGTGATGGTGGGAGGAATGTTATAGACCTTGAGGCATTCAGTAACAGTAACAGAGTTGGAAGGGACCTTGGAGGTCATCTAGTCCTCACGCAGGAGACCTGTACTAGGGATTCAAACCGCCGAACTGCCGACCTTTCTGATCGACAAGCTCAATCAGCTTGTCACTTTAGCCACAAAGCCACACCTGATTACATACCTTTATGTCTATTGCAACTTTAGTGCTGCCTCCTAGCACTGCCATCTGAGGGAATTGCTCTGCCTAACATTAGGGCGTTCCTAATTCTATGTTCATAGCAGCGTTCCATGCGCCTTTGGTGTTTAGTCATGCCGGCCGCATGACCACCGAGACGTCTTTGGACAGCGCTGGCTCTTCGGCTTTGAAACGGAGATGAGCACCGCCCATTAGAGTCAGGAACGACTAGCACATAGGTGCGAGGGGAACTTTTACCTTTTACCTTTAACATTAGAGGTGACCTCTGTCTCTTGAGTTGATCCAGCATATAAATAAATATATATGATAAAATATATCTTAAGAGAGAATGACTTTACTCCAAAAAAGTGTGTGATTTTACCCATTTTCAAGGACTAGCAGTAGTTCAACAACTGAAAATACTTTTTTTTTTAAATGGATACTTTTAACAAAAAGTCAGAAGTCTGGCAGCACTTTTTCCATCTAGCATATTTTATTGAAAGTCATATTAAAAAGCTGTTGCTTTAATAGCATTGGTTAGTTGGAAAAGGTGCTACCAGACTCTAAATTGTTTGAGACCAACACAGCTCTCTTAATAAAAACGAAAGCCTATTTTGTATCTAGCTCACCTCCTGATAAGGGTAGTTTTGTCTCATCTGTATTTGTTCCTATATTTTTAAGACAATGTAAACTGTGAATAATATTGTGTCTACTGTGGCTTTATCACATTATTCTTAGGGTTTGGCTTCAGGAGAATCTCTCTTTATTGGCTCTTCGTTGTAAACCAACTCTTCTGGCAAAGATGTGAGGTTCCAGTTTTATGGGTGTAGACAATTGCTACTGCTTTGAAATCTGTTATTTTGCCTTTTAAGTGACAACATTTTTTTTGGTCAGGCCAGCTATTCTGAGCTGGATGTCCTCCTGAGGTGTGAGGACTAAGTCCGAGAAAACTGGGAGCTGCATTTCCAACACATTTGAAAAATCCAAGTTGGGTAGCCTACCTGGTTGAGATCGCAGTAATCACATACAGTACATTCTATGTGTCTCTCACAAGCACACACATATATATAATTTCTCACATATACAATGAGAAGGCTTTTTCTGCCACAATAAGATCCTGTTTCCTTGCATATTAACTGTATTTTTTTTAATTCAGTTTAAACAAAAATCCAAGCAATCTTCTTTAAATTGTGGCCAGCTTGTTAAAGTATTCTTTTGTATTGATCTTATGCCTGGATACCACACAGAGTTCACTCTAAGAGTGAGATGAGCATCATCGACATTTGACAAACAAATAAATGTCTCTGAGCATTGGCTTAGTATTTGATGTATATATCTTCGTATGCATTTATTTTGATATCCCAACATTTGATGTTGGAAATCATCTTATCCCTTTGGTCGGAAGTCATCCTCTCTCTTTGGTACTCCATTTGTTTATTTGTTAGATTTATTTTCAGTTTGTTTCTCCAGGAGCTAAAGGTGGCTTACTGGGAGATGTCCCTCATTTGATGCTCACAATAACACCTATGTGAGGTATGTTGGTGTTGAACTGGCTAAAAATCATTCAGTGAGCCTGGACTTGAAATTGGATCTCCTCTGCCTTCCCCCAGAGATCACAGTGACTTTATACAACAGTAACTCCTGAATTCAGTAGGAATGCATGCAGTCTCATTCTCAATCCCTCTGTCACCCAACAATTGGGTTGGCTTTTTTTTAAAAAAAAAAACTTAATCCCTGAGCATATTCACATAGTTCAATAAATTTAGTTGTGCTGCAAGTCTCATGAAATAGTTTTCCATAGGGCAATGCGTTTTCAACCCCCTGGTACATGTAGCCTGTGCTACTCAGTCCAATTCATTCAGCTTTCATTCTTAGCATTCAGAGAAAGATTTCCTCCCCCCCCAATGCATCCTTGGCAGTAGTGGGTTTCAAATTCCATCACTACCAGTTCACTTGTGGGCGCACTCGTGCACAACGCTTCTGCACATGTGCAGAAGCGTCCGGGCGGGTGGGCGGAGCCTCCCGCCACCGTTGCTACCAGTTCATCTGATCCAGGGCGAACCGATAACAACCCACCACTGATCCTTGGTCTGGGAGGAACTTTGAATGGTACTGACCAATGCATTCTAAGTTCCTTTCCTTCCTGCCTGCCTTCCTGCCTGCCTGCCTGCTAGATACATCAGACAGAGTGGAGCTTATGTAGCCTGCTCTGTACTTCCTCATGCATGTTTTTGCACAGATATTCACATGTTCACAAGCAGCAACCATGTAGAGAAATGCACTGTGCGAACTAATCAAGCTTCAGTGTACGTATTGTGATACTCCTGTATTTGGTTCCCTGAAGGTAAGCAATTTATTCTAATGCCCCAGGCGGTTACATCATTGAAAAAAAAACTTCTGCAAACCTTCTTAAAATGGTAGTGCCTTTCCTGCTCCCACCCCTTCTTAGACTTTAATTCTTATGCGCTGCTTCTTCTGTTAATGGTATGGTCCTTTTTGTCAGGGTTCTCTATTGATTTAGTTTCTGCCCATGAATTTCAAACTCTGTGTGAACATTGCATCAGAATAAAATAAATTAAAAAAAAACATTTAAAAATAAACAAAAAATAGTGGAATAAATTATGAAAGAATGCATTTCAGATGTCAGCAGTTTTGTTTGTTTTAAGTCATAATTTTTGGTACACATTTTGGAGTACATCAAAGTCAGCAGAGATCTTATTTCCTCCGAGAGGAGTGGCGCTCACAGAGCATGGCACAAACCATTCCTGAATGGGTGCCACTTTTCTTTGTAAGAGAGGCATTCTCCCTGGATGTGTGGCCAGTTTGTGAAGATTTTGGGAAAATTGCAAATATATATATATATATATATATATATATATATATATATATGTATGTATGTATGTATGTATGTATGTATGTATGTATATATATATTATACTTAAGATGGGTTCATACCATGCTAAACTATGGTTTGCTTCACCACATTGATTAAATCATAATTTGCTGGGATTGTGTAACATGGAAAACTAAAAACTACCTGCTGCAGCAGTCGACTAGCAGGAGAAACTATAAATTTGAATTTTCTGTCCCTGGTTTCACTTCATCATCTCCTTTTCAGCAATCCTCCACAGCCATTTCCTCACTTAATGCTAAAGTGGCATTAAGTCTGTCCTTATCTGTTATGCTGGCAGATCAGGGGTTAAATGAGTGTATAAGACTCTAAATCACTAGTGGGGAAATAATTCAAGAGGCAGTAGGGGAACACCTGGATATTTGGTAATCCTAGCACATTGTATATTGAGTACAGGAGTTTCACAGTTTCTTTGTACTGGGAAAGACAATCTTAATTTACTAGGAAATTTTACATGCGCTGTGTATATTCTGTCATCTCAGGATGGGGATGAAATAGCAGATTTGGCATAGCCCATCTCTGCTGCCAAAGAGCCAGCAAGAGCTTTCTGCTTTGTTTTGTGCTTAATGTAAAGGCCTACATTAACGTTCTTTCGTTTCTTCTCTGGAAAATGGGCACCCGGGCATTATCTTATTCATACAAAGGGCTGAATGAAAAGATTCCATTGAAAACGTGCTACTACCTTAGTGGATAGACCCTCATTTTTATTCAGGATCAATCTCCTTGAATCCTTTCATAAGAACTGGGCATGTTTCCCACTCAGCCTAATAAAATGCATGTGCTTAATTAATTGTGATAGCCACCCACTTAGTCATTTTTAAACTTTAGTTATGTTTGCTTTTTTCTCCCTTGTTTTGGCAGTTGGCTTTAAAAAACTCTCTGCGGTATTTCCCGCCTAACTTGCATGGAATCCTGGCACCAGAATTTGCCAAAGAATTGAAGCTCTATGGGCATATCTACATGTACAGGTTCTGCCCCCAGATTGAAATGAGGTAAGGATTAGGATTTGCCAAAAGATTGGGAATTCCAGGTTGGCATCGAAATTCCTTACTCAGTAGCTTGGGCATCATGGGCATCTCTGTGTGTGTGGGCGGGGAAAATGCCCACAATGCAAATCAAGTGATGACATCATGTTTCAAATGACATCATTGGAGCTTGTACTGGATGCTAACCAATCTCATATAAAGCAGAGCCATCATTTTTTTAGCTGCCATTTTTTGAATTCATACAGTACCCTCCCTAAGCCATCAAATATTGTTTTAAAAACTTAAATGGTTGTGTTCTGCTCTAAGTCAAAAACAATCAAACCACCGTTTGGGTTACTTAGTGCCATAAGTGAATCCAGGATATCTTTATAAAGTTAGCAAAAGTTTGTCAGTGTGGCTGCTTCAAAGCCCAATCATAAACTGAATTAGCAGAAGGTCACTTGCTGATTAACCAGCAAGATGAGATGAAACAAGGCTGATAAATAAGCAGGTTGATTTATTGGTCAATGTATGCAGCTGCTGAACATCTGGGAACTTTGAACTGGATTCAAGCATCATAATAAAGTATCATGTAATTATTTTGTTTCTGGTGGCATAAACTATGACTTAGGACAATATACCAAGCCTGTTAATTCTGGATTAGAAAACAAACCATGGTAAAAATAAAAACATTGAAAGTGTGAATTTGGTCTTTGACTTGGTTTATAGCCAATATTAACAGCTTTGTAACAGGGTAGAGAACAGTAGACCTTTGTTTCTAATGAATGTCTACTTCCAGCATCTTCATAGCACTTGTGTTTGAAATCATTGGGGACTGTTACTCATCAGTAAATTTCCATCCACTCTTTATAATCTGTATGTTTGTAATGCAGTTCTTCTCTGCGGCCAACTTCTTATGGGAAGTACAGCATATAACAAATTTATTCTACAAGAAGTAAGATATGCAGAAAACAAAGTGTCAAGATTTGTTTTATTTCTGACCATCAAAATACTAAGCCAGAGACTCCCAAGTGCCTTATTAGATTCCAATGAAGCCTATATAAGAGCTGTATTTCCCTGACAGCCCATAAGCTTTTCTAATGTCAAGTCTTTTTCATAGTACCATCCATTAAAAAAAGTAACAATAATGTAAAAATAGTAACACCTGTGTCATGACAGCATCACTTAAATAATATAATTATGTCGCAATGTCTGGTGCAAATTTGTAATATGTTCTATGTGATCATATAAATATGCATTGTTAGTGAACTAAAAAACACTCAATGCCATTTTAAGCTTAGTTTAAGCATATTTAGAGCTATTATATGAGTTGAAAAATATAGACACCCAACAGATAGTAGCAAAGAATTAGTTTTATGTGTCTCTTGTCTGCCATCTAGTAGTCATCATCCATAGTGCATTCCATGTATAATCCATAGTCCTAAACATATTGAACAAACCCAGGGTACAGATCTAGACATGGCCTCAGACTGTAGAGAATTATTAAATTTGCAGATGATACAACGATGGGACTTATCTCTGGGGGGGGGGGATGAGTCTGTCTATCAAGATGAGGTGGACCGGTTGCTTTTGTGGTGTGGAGACAATAAGTTGGTCCTTAAAACCAAGGAGCTTATAGTGGACTATAGAAGGAATAAATCACCTTTAAAGCGCTCCATGGCATAGGGCCTAGCTATCTTCGAGACCGCCTGCTGCTACCGACGACCTCCCAGCGACCCGTGCGCTCCCACAGAGAGGGCCTCCTCAGGGTGCCATCAGCCAAACAATGTAGGCTGGTGACCCCCAGGGGGAGAGCCTTCTCTGTGGGGGCACCTACCCTCTGGAATCAGCTGCCCCCAGAGATAAGGAGAATCCAAGACCTCAGTGCCTTCTGCCATGCCCTTAAAACCCACTTTTTCCAGCAAGCCGGGCTGGCTTAGGAAGAAATTTTTTAAATTTTTAAATGTTTAATTGGTTTGTGGTTTTTTAAATTTTGGGCCAAATTTATATAGATTTTAATTGTTTTTAATATTTGTATTGCATGTTTTTAATTCTGGCTGTGCACCGCCCTGAGTCCTCAGGGAGAAGAGCGGTATATAAATTGAAAATAAATAAATAAATCAGACATCCAGCTCTTGGTTATCAATGGAGACCGAGTGGAGCAAATGGTCAGTTTTAAGTTTCTGGGTGTTATCATAAAAGAGGACCTGACCTGGGATGCTTACATTGCAGCACTGGTCAAAAGGGCCCAGCAGAGATTATACTACCTGAGACTTCTCAGGAAACAACAACTGAATGAAAAACTGCTGGTGACCTTCTGCCGCTGCACCATAGAAAGTATTGTATGGTTTGCCAATTGCACAGTGGCAGATAGGATGCTGCTCCAGAGGGTTAACGTCATTGCCCAGAGGATCATTGGTTGCCTTCTCCCCTCTTTGGAAGAGCTTTATAGCTCCCGCTGCCTTAAGAAAGTTCAAAACATTCTTAAAGATCCATCTCATCCTGGGCACCCTTTTTTTTTTTTTTAAACTATTACCATCTGGCAGATGGTACAGGACAATAAAAACAAGGACAAATAGGCTGAAAAACAGCTTCTATCCCAGATCAGTAACTATATTGAATTCTACTGTATAGTACAATATTAATGCAATATCAGGGGTTTTCAATTCAATTGTATAGAATGTGAAGGATGCGTGTTTTTGTTTTCTTTTTATGTATAATTTACCCTGAAGATGGCATTTAATTTCGTTGTATGAGGTGCAATGACAATAAAGTAAACTAATTAACTAGATTGGCATTGTGTGAGGTTTTGATTAAGCTGTTGAGTTAAGGCTGAGAGGCCCAAGTACAAGTCATCTCTTAGCCATGGAACCTTCGGCCAATCTCCCTTTCTTAGCCCACCCATTTCACAGGATTACAAAGAGGAGAGAGGAGGAAAAAGTGAGACAGCCAAATACTGTTGCATTGATCTCTCAAATATCTTTAATCATTAAATGCAAAATTCATTTGTCCTCATTAACTGATCTTGTTTACTTCATTTAATGTTTTTGGCAACCATGTTCTGCCAGTGTAAAAGTGCAAATTATTTTGAACTTAGTTTGAATTGACTGCAATGCACTATACAGATCCTGCATTGACTGTAGGCTGAAAAAAGCTTGCTTTTGTAATTGTTCTGAGCTGTAGTTTTGAAAATCTGATAAAAGTCAATTACATTCCTCAAATGTAGTGTTCCATTTTGAAGCATTTTTTTGTTAATTGCTCAGGATCTGTTTGTTCCAGTTGGATTTTATATTTGGATTCTCAAATGAACAGCTCAAATTCTGCCCATATTCCAAAAATGCGTAGCAGTTTAAAAAATGAGTGCCCAAGGGCACAAAGCTCATATTCTATAAGTATGCAGCTGAGTTGATACAGGCTTTCTGAATTCAGATTCTAAATAAATAAGGTCAGGTAACAAAGTCAGAATAAACAATATATTTTCTTCATTTAGCACGGAATCCTTCCAAAATAGATATAGAACAAGCGAAACTGGAAAAAAAAACCCACTGTGATATTTATTTCTTTTGCAGATGGTGGATGTATTCACTAACCAAACTGTTTGTGAATGGCACTATGTCTATTACTAGTCTAATGTTGATAATTATTTCTTATCTCTCTATGTGCATGGATATATGTCAGGGCTGTGCAGAAGTTCAGAATTAATTTGGAAAACATGGTTGGATTCACTCAGGAATGTGAACAGAACACCTGCCTACAAATCTTTAAATAAGAACTATCTGACATATCCAGAGGGTACTATGTAGAAAGAAGCCCTTAAAATACCAATCTCTTTTTGGGGGTTGGGGACAGGGAGAAATCTACTGATTAGTAATCTAAATTGAGTTCAGATGGTTTTATTCATAATAGGGTGTCCAACATCCTAATTGACTTTATCTTTCCATTGTTTTCTATATTGGTTTTTCTTTTAATTTATCCATCAGATCAAGAATTCATTGGTAAAAACAGTTAGAGAATAATTAATTCATCTCTGCCTTTATCTGTTTCAATTTCAGAGCTTATCCCATTCAGGAATATCCTTGCAAAACCAAGCAAGCTGCTGCAATAATGCACATGATTATGAATAACCTTGATCCTGCAGTAGCCCAGGTAATGAATATTTGATGAAAACATGGTCTAGGAAAGAAATCTCCTTGCATGCTCATGAGAATGTACTGCCTTTTATGGGGTAAATAATGGAGACAGTGATTTAGGATTTATGGAGTGATTTATGGAGTCAGTGATTAGGATAATATATTATATTAAGTGATGGTTGTATTAACAATACTTTGTTGAATAAATCTACAGTTAGCTATGTTGGAAAAACTCGGTAAGTTATAGACCATTGTTTACAAACCACAATACCCAGCTCTCACTGTTCATACATATTTAATCATCATCCTATTCTCTTTCAGGCAAGCAATGTTATCAAAGTGCAGAAAGAAATTGTAAACCAGAGGGTTATTCTCTGTTTCTTTATATTCTAAATTTTGTATTATTGCAATTGTTTTGATCCCTAAGATGCTTTTCAAAAGGCAACTGGATTTTCTTGATTGTTTCATTGGAGATGAATGAGAACATTTGAGAACATTTCACTTCTCATCCAAGAAGGTCATCAGAAATGGGCAGCCATATAAATTGAATAAATTAATAAATATTCTGCACCATGTCTCACCTTTTATTCTTTAAATTTCTCACTTGTCTCTTTCTAAGAATTTCATAAATTCTAAGTAAGATTTTCATAGTCTTTCTCCTCCTTTCAACCCATTCAATTTCCCACTATATATTTGCTTTATAATTTAATCCTTGTTTGTGTTCTCTATATGATAATCAACTTCACTGTACAATTTTTAACTGGTGAGTCACTTTTGTGTTTAGTCAGAATTGATTCATTACCCATTCATTCTTGACTCTATAACTTTTTAGACATACGTCTCTAAGTTTGCCATTCCCATTGCACCCAACTTTTATTGTCTCCTCATTTAACCAGCTCTCATTTCCAGAAAAGCAGTGGGCAGAAGCAAGCTCTTATAAGCAAACTCCATTTTCACTTCTTTTGACCAGTTTCCATTCCTCACAACAATTTCATATTACCCACTATCTTTTGCATGTCTTAAAAGTTCTCCATCTATTTTCCCATATTTAGTAAACATTCTACCAATGCATACAAATTTATCAACTTGCTCTAGCTTTTGACATTTATATATAGCTTACAAACATTCACTCCATTTTGTCTATCAAATGTATCTATCTTGGTCTTTGGTATAACAATTTTCAGATTTATATTCCTTGTTGAATCTACCTATCATTCCCTGCAAAGCATTTGTCTTCTCAGATTTACACACAGCATTATCCATATGCAAAGTGCATACTATATGTTCATGATCCAAGTCAATATATATCTACCATGACTTGCAAGACCACCTCCTACCGGCCTCCCACCGCCCAGTGCACTCACATAGGACTGCCCTCCTCCGGGTGCTGTCGGCCAGACAATGTCGGCTGGTGGCCCCCAGGATGAGGGCGTTCTCTGTGGTTGCACTGACCCTCTGGAATGGGTCACCCACCGGACTCCGGACGGCCCCTGACCTCCGCACCTTCCGTGCCGACCTGAAGACATGGCTTTTTCAGCAAATTCCCTGATAAAACCCTGCGAGGTTTTAATTGTCTGGGGATTTTAAATGGGTTTGTTTTAGCACTGTTTTATTGTTATGCTGTTTTTATTCTGTGAGCCGCCCCGAGTCCTACGGGAGAAGAGTGGCATATAAATTTGATTAAATAAATAAATAAATAAATTACAAAATTTTCTTATACGGTACATTTCTGATACAGTATTATATATTTATTATACATTAAACAACCAAGGAAACTCATACTTCCTTGCCTTATTCCCTTTTCAGAGTTGAACCATTTATTAAGGATTCTAGTTTTACTCACACATTTTACTTCCATCATATATTTTTCTTATCACATTCAGCAACCCTAATCAAGCCTGTATCATGTTCTTTCTCTAAATCAATATATAATGCACAAATATTTATTTCATCAAAATTGCTCTGTATTTTTCCTACCTCATTTAATATTAATCATTATTTTCTCTCTTTGACTACATTTTTGCAACTTTTTGTGCTTATATATTATAAAATACCTTTCATCTTTTTTGCATCATTTATATGAATTTTTCTACATTATTAACCTCTTTCATGCCTTCATTCAGGTATTCCTTTGCATACATATTTCTTTGGCTCCTGGTAACATAATTGTTTTCACTCTGTTTTAATTAACATCCACCCACTTTCCTTATGTTCACTTTTTATTCATTTTGTTTGGATACAAGATTGGACTTTCTTTTCCTACAGTTCGTTTTCATTTCTTTATTTTCATTTCCATGTCCTTTCCCCCCAGTTTTGTTATTGGCATTTCCAAATTATCTGTCCCATATTCATAACCTCTGATCATCCTTGTCTCTCTGTTTCTGATTCAGTCTTTCATTATAAATCAGTTAAATACTGTTTTGGATTTTTATTCATTCTTCTGCATATGTATATATGAATAGATATATGGATTAACCATATATTCAAAACAAGTCTTTTTCTAAGCAAATATTCTCTAGTCACCCTTCTAATTAATTACTGAGTTCCTAAATGGTCCGGTGACTTTTTCTTTGTCTTCTCATCTCATTTCCATCTTTTCATCCATATTGCCTAATAGAATTATTTTTCCTTGGATTGCATTCATTCATAGCAATTAAAAAGGAGGAAAATTCATTATTCATAAAAAAGAAATCATATATCATGAGGGCAAATAAAAATGCATAATTTTTATTTCATTTTTATGGTAATATATTATGGATACTAAACAGCTGTCCTCAAGATGAAGATCTTGTTCTGGAGGCAGACATAAGAGAACTTAATATCATTGTATAGGAGTTGTTTTGAAATTTTGTATGGATTTAAAATGTACCTTTTGCAGTTTCCCCAGGAACTTGTAACATATGGAGGAAATGGACAAGTGTTCAGCAACTGGGCGCAGGTATGATACTGTAGATATATTTTCAGTGAGAAATGGTTTTTTTAAAAATTGTTCTCATTCTGTTTAAGCAAAGTTTGATGAGCAGCTGACCATAAATTGAGATCTATTTTAACTTTTACTTATTTTATGCAAAAGGAGAAAAAGTGAGGATGAATTTGCTTGTTCCCCTTGACTCCATGTTATCATTCTTTTTGTTCCAATAGAAGAAAATATTTGTATCTCTGGGTTGAACTCTGGAGTCCTTGGTGCTTTCTCTGAGCTTGGTTGTTGTTTTTTAGCTAGGCATTCTACTACCTAACTAGGTAATGGATAATGTTACCTAGTTGGATAATGAAACATCTGCAAGAAAGCAACCAAACTCAGAAATCACCAAGGACTCCACAATTTTGTGCTCCCATAAAGCAAAGTTCAAAGGAGATTGCACCCAGAACTACCCCAGCTTGAACAGAAATGTGCAGGAGGACCTATATGACTACATGCACCAAGCCAGTTAATTCCCCACTAATTTCATGCATTGCTTTAACATTTTCTCGATAAGGAGATAGATGGACGTGCAGGAAGGCCCTATGCAGAGTGTCCAGTTCTGCTGACTTTTTTTTTTTTTTTTTTTTTTTTGAGAATTAGGATTCCCGGATTCCCAGGCAGAGTGGAGCCTTCTGAGTTTTTGTTCTCAAAATAGCAACTATGCTTCCTAAAATATATATATGATGAGCATGATTTTGTATCTAGTGTGCCTTGGTGTACTTTAGGGCATACATCTTGAGTTGCACTGTGCAACCGAGACAACACAATCTGTGGACGCCTTCTGTCTGTACTTTTGCTCCTGTTCTGATAGGAGTGTGATACCTCAAAAGAGTTTCACAGCAGAACAAACAATACTTCTTTGTCATTCTGGTTACTTAAGAATAGCTATTGGGTGAATGATTTTATGCCGTTGCGATAAAGCCAGCTTGTTCTCCCTGCTTGGTATTGTGAAAAAGAGACTGTTTTTTAAAGATGTGTGATTGTAGCAAAACTGCACCTCAAAATGTTGTTCCTGCTGCATGTTATCAATGCTGCCTTTTTCTCCCCTTTTTAATGTTACAAAAACTCATTTGTAGTTTGCCATGTTTGCCCTGGAATATCCTATTTTTTTACAGATGCCTGACCCACATTTTCTCATTATTTTATTTATTTATTTAGTTTATGGGCATCTTGCTCTTTCTCTGAGCTGAGCTGAGATTAACCTTCCCTTCCTCCCTTAATCTTTATAACAACCTTCTGAAGTAAGTCAGTAGGTCACAGTGATAGCAAGTGGCTCAAAAACAGTCCAGTAAGTTTTTCTACTGAATGCCTAAACGTCTCAACAGGGAAATCCAATACACTTGGAAAACATTTGATTAAGAATAGCTGGATGATACTTTTAGTTAATGCTACATAAGAATATAAGTAGTGCCCTGCTGGATTGGATCCCTGGCCAGTAGTCTATTTTCACAGTGGCCAACCAAGTGCACAAGGAAGTCTACTTGTCACCCAACCAATGATCTCCAGAGGCAATCAGATTCCCATCAAGGCTTTGATGGCTAAGACTTATGCTATCACAAAATACCTATGATGATTTGGAAAATGGCTAATACCAGAGTAGGAGATGGGACCAGAATTAGGATCAAAATTGCCTTTAGTCCTAATGACAGCTCCCTTCCAAAAAGTAATTGAGAAGAGGGCAAGGAGACTTTCAGAAGGGGGCACAGAGACTTTGTTCTTTTGCAGGAAAAGTATACAAAGAACCAATCAATCAAACCTACCAACCAACCAAGTTTCTTTAGCGCTTCTGGCAGAAATCCAAGCTTCTGCTAATGTAAACCTTTGTAATAGAAAATCCTCATTCCAAAGTCCATTGATAAAAGGGAAAACTAAAAAATGCAGTATGGAAAGGTGAGAGGGGAGCTAAATTATTGTTCACAGCACCTGGGAAATAGAATCCTTATCCTGCCCCTTGCCCCATCTGCCCTGTCTTCTCCTGACATCCCAGATCACTATTTTCTTTCCTGGATTTTCTTTTGTCTGGGGTTCATTGAAATCAATGGGCCAGTAAAAATAGGATTGGACAGGAAATCCAAAAACCTAAAATTGTGTTGGGATTACATATTGCCTAAATAGTTTTAATGTCTTGAATGAAAAGTTCTGACTGATTTTACAGTTTCAAATATTGAATTGTACTATGAACAGAGCTACCTGCACATTTCGATATAATTCTAATTAAGATTTCTACTGTGCCATCATAGAAAGGGCTGTTAACCAGTCCATATTTTCACCCATCAGTTTAGCTCTTTTTCCTGGGAGTAGGAGAAAGTTTAGTTTTTAATTCCTGCTATGAATAAAAACAATAGGGGAGGAACAGTTTCTGTGTGAAAATATTAGATTAGTAGCTCATGTCTATTCCCACCTGATAATGCATTTTTAATCAGCCTCACCACTTTTCAGGAATTCTCATCAAATGGTTTCCCGCCATTCTGTCTGGTCTAGCTATTAAAAATCTGTAGGACAATGATCCTTTTAGGACAAGAAGCTAATCTACTATTTCTTTCCTTTCTCTAGTTTTGGCTGGTGATGCACTATTTATCTGAGATGACTGAAGAACAGACATTAGTTATGTACAGTGGACATCCCTTAGGACTCTTCCCAAGCCATTGCAATGCACCTCGATTAGTTATCACTAATGGCATGGTAAATAAAGGCAACAATATCTCCTCTTCGCTGTTTCTTTATCATTGTGACATCTAGTTTAGACCTTTCAGTAGGTTCACTATAATTATTTATAATTATATAATTATAAAGCATGAAGCCATATCTCTTCTGGAAAGACGGCCTTTCATTAGTAGCTTGTATAAAAGTTAAAAGTCCTCATCTCCATTTCCTAGCTGAGGGAGCCAGTATTATCTGAAGAAGCTTCCGTAGACATGTGGCCAGCCTGACTATATGCCAAAGCGCATGGAATGCTGTTATCTTCCCACCAAAGTTGTACCTATTTATCTACTTGCATTTGCATGCTTTTGAACTGCTAGGTTGGCAGGAGCTGGGGCAAGTACAGGAGCTCACCCTGTCACATTGTACTTGGCTCTTGAACTGCAACCTTCCAGTCAACAAGCATCTTAACTCCTAGGCCACCACTAGGCCACTACTATGTCTCCTTATTTTCAAGGTGGATGGAAGGTCCACCATCCAAGATGGAGATTGAGGGTTCAGAATTTTCAAGGATGGGATATCCAGAACAAATAGAATCTGTTACAAAAAAAAAAACATTATCATGCTGATGTACACAGGATTTATTACATGAGAATCCCATCATTTTCTATTCAGCTGTCAGTCAGCTATAGCTCAAAGATATCATGTGACAAGGCTACAACATCTGTAGCTTTAAGACTGTATGTGCTCTTCCCAGAATCTTCTCACAAAATGCTACCAAACTATATAAGTAACAAGATTATTATACATAGGATATATGTCTGTTAACTATATTTAATTGACAGAATCCAATCTAATACATAGAATAAAATAACTTTAAGGTTTTTTTGGTCTCCTCTTTCTTTGTTCTGATTTCCCCCTCATTTTAGAGGATGGCCAACAGCATGCCAGTCAGTATAATCATTCGCTGAAAAAAGATTCTCCCCTCACTACAAAGTATAAAGCCATTTAATTTCCTTTTCTTTACTTTACTTTAATTTTCCAGTTCACATTTGGCATTCTATAGCTCTCTCTTCTTGTTCCATGGAGAGCCAGATCATCCAACCATCTCAATTTGCAATTAGTAAGGATTATTTGTTTCCATTGAACAATCCTTCTGGTCATTGTGAAAATTTATTAAGATTGAGTATGCTTTGAAGTTGTGGGTGGTCCAACACTGGAGTTTTTTTAAAGAAGAGATTGGACAATCATTCGTCTGAAATGGTTCAGGGTTTGCTGCTTGAATGGGGGTTGGACTAGAAGACCTCCAAGGTCCCTTCCAACTGTGTTATTCTGTTAACCTGAAAAAATTATTCCTGCTTTTATTAAATCAAATTAATCCAATATGTCCCATAAGAATGAGCATATGAGCCCTCCCCCCCCCACATACACACACTGTAAGAAGGGGATTTAATGGAATATGTTAAACAAAATCTGGTTCAGAGACTATTTAATTCTTCATTCTTACTAATTTTTCTTTTTCTTTACTTAGGTAATCCCTAATTATTCCTCTAGAGAGGAATATGAATCTATGTTTGCAAAAGGAGTTACAATGTAAGTATCCATTCCCAAGTTTCTTTTCTAATATCTTCTATAAAATAATAAGAGTTGGAAAGACACAATGCTGATATGCAAATTAGAGTATTTTCAGTAGAAATCTGTCTAGGCTCCACTTAAATAGCTCTAATGAAGGGGAGCTGACTGATTGGATTTATTTATCTTATCATTAAACTTTATCTTTTAATATCCAATTGGCAACTACTTTCCTATACTTAAATTCATTGCTCTGTTTCTTGCACTATGGAAGGGAAGATTATAAAATTTGACTTTCTTCTCTGATGGCATATTTTTCAGGTGTTTGAAGAGTTCTGTTAAATTTTCCCCATCTTCATTTTTCTCTTCCAAACATTTCCATTTCTTTAAACCTTTTCTCGTAGGACTTAGTTTTCTAGTCCATTGATAATTCTCACTGCTCTGTACCAGTTTCTGTGAATCCATTTTAAAATTGATTACAGTACTGCAGAATCACTGTGACTTATGCAGGTTTCAGTTCAAGTAATATGTTTTTATGCTTCTAATAATGCAGACTAAAATTTCATTTCCTTTTCAGCAGACATATTGCACTGCTGATTCATACTCAGTTTGTGATCAACCTTTTAACATCTTCAAACCAAGTATTCCATCCTATAACTTAGGTTCTGTCACTCAGATTTCATTATATTCAGCTTTCTTCTCTAACTTGTAAAGATAGGTTGAATTTTCTTTTGCCTTTTTAATTATTCCACCCAATTTAGCATTATTTACACTTTCTCTATCTCTTTACTCAAGCCACTAATATAAATACTGAAGATTAGTGGGCACAAGGCTTAATTTGTTGGATATCATTTGATATTACACTCCAGTTTCATGAAAAAGTATTGATGATCAACTGGACAATCTACCAGTATATTAGGGCTGTCAAACTCGCGGCCTGTGGCCAGATGCATCACACACTGACCACTCTCACATTCAGTTTAGCGAAGGGGAAAAAAAGTCCCGATATGTCTCATGATGCTACCGTGATAACATGAGTTTGATACCCCTGCTCTATATCATTAGGTTGATGAACTAGTAAGCAATAGCAATAGCATTTAGACTTATATACCACTTCACAGTGCTTTTACAGCCCTCTCTGAGCGGTTTACAAATGTCAGCATATTGCCTTCAACAATCTGGGTCTTCATTTTACCCACCTTGGAAGGATGGAAGGGTGAGTCAACCTTGAGCCTGGTGAGATTTGATCTGCCAAATTGTAGGCAGCCGGCAGTCCACAGAAGTAGGCTGCAGTACTTCATTCTAATCATTGTGCCACAGCGGCTCTTATATATATAGCTGTATATTTGTTGTTACCATTGTTGTTGTTGGCTATCATATTATCATTAATACCTGTTTGAGAAAATAGCATCTTTTTTTTTTTACAGGTATGGACAGATGACAGCTGGAAGCTATTGCTACATTGGACCACAAGGGATAGTCCATGGAACTGTGGTAAGAACTGGGCCAATATAGAAGAATACTTTTTGAAACAATTCATTGTTGCTGTTGGTTTTAGTCGCAATATATTTACACTAGACAGCCAGTTTGATGTAGTGATTAATGCGCCAGATTAGATGCCAAGAAACCGTGAGTTCTAGTCCCACCTTGAGCACAAAACCAGCTGGGTAACCTTAGGCCAGTCATATCAAGAGCCTTGGTGGAGCAGCGAACTAAAGTACTGTTAAAGTAGCACTTAGCTGCCAGCTGCCTGCAATTACTGTGAGTTCAAATCTCACCAGGCTCAAGGTTGACTCAGCCTTCCATCCTTCCAAGGTAGGTAAAATGAGGACCCGGATTGTGGGGGGAATAAGCTGACTTTGTATAAAATAGAACACCGCTTAGGGGGGGGGCGAAAGCCCTACTAAGCAGGTATATACAAAAGTATGAAGGCTATTGCTTAACACATTGTAAGCCGCCCTGAGTCTCCGGAGAAGGGCAGCATATAAATCGAACCAATAAATAAATAAATAAATAAATATCCTCTCAGTCCTAATAAAGAGGCAATGATGAACCACTTCCAAGGTTTAGCCAAAAAAGCGTGCAGGTTTTTGTCTAGACAGTCACCAGGCCTCAACACTGACTCAAAGACACAATATATAGATGTATGTGTATATTATGCATGTTTCATTATTTATTTATTTATTTAGACTGGCTTTACTGCTTTGTTGAACACAGGGCTTAAGCCTCCATTTTATAATGCTTGTGGGATAAACATAAAACAGTAATTCCCCAAACTCTGCCCTAAATAAATTAGATCAAGGCACACAAACTGGTGTTTTTTTAAATATTTGAGGGTAACACTCCTATGGTTCCTGAGCCGACATAGCATGCTGGCTCAGGCTGATTAGAGCTATTCACTAAAATATCTTGAATTAAATCACAAAGATTAGTGTAAACCCATTGGTGTCCTCACACAGATGAAGAGAGACAAATGACAAAACGTATACAGTACTTTGATATGCAATATATACAAGGGCTGGAGTTTGCTTTATAATGTTACAATGCACATTTTCTCATTCTGATGAGAACCTTCAGATTTAATGGATAATTTCAGATTCAATAAATGCCTCTTCATCTATTCAGAGGATAGCCTGCAACGGATAATGTATTTAATAATTTCTCCTTTCCCTTTCCATTAAAGAGATTTTCAATTCTCTGTCATGTCTCTAGTTCAGATATTATATATTTTTTCTTATAAACACTTATCTTTTTCACACTAGTGATTTTACTGATTTTCCATAGCATCACCTAGCTACTAATATAGTCATAAAAATGTTGATTTTATTGCTGTTATTCTGGTTTGTAGAATATGCTATTAGTAACTAGCAGTGCAAAAAAACCCCAATGTCTAGATATAGCAAAATTACACTTTGGGATATGTATATCAGAATAGGCTCTCAAATGGACTACAGATAAAAGTCAACCGCGACTCTAGTACTAATTCAGAAGGAGAAAAAATTACCTTATCTAGAAACTTGGAAAATACTGTTTTGAAACATTGCTTTCTGCCAGTTCCATTTATTTATTCAAGTTTACAATATCTTTTCTGATTGAAAGAGTTTTAGATAGATAGCCTTTTTCATCAATTGCTAAAGGGGATTATTTTAACTGGAAATGCCAATTTCAAAAACTGGAACTTCTCCTAGCAAAGCATCCTAAATTGTAGCCTTTCTATGTTAAACACTGATATAGAGAGATGCCTATATTTAGAAAATTAATTTCTATAGGCACTGGAATTTTGGTGCACTTATGGAGCTTTCCTGCCAATAAGAGCTTTGAAATCCATTTTCTTTATTTGAGACATTGGTATCCTACTCCTTCGGGAGTAGGGCGGTATAGAAATCTAATAAAATGAAAATGAAAAAAATTATTCCCCATACAGTGTTTTAAAAAATCATGAAGCAATTTCCCCCATGAAAACTGACCAGGGCTATTTGCCTCACACACAAAAAGATATCTGGCACTTCTGAATTGGGCAGTGGAGGCCTTCACAGCAGTTTGGAATGCAAATGGAGAGAATGTGAAGTTCAATGGGAATTTGAAGCATTGTTTGTGGTGTTTGTGCACACTAAATGTAGATGCACAAATATGTATAAAATAATATGATAAACACCTTTACATATGCATGCATGCATGCTAGCCACATGGGATTCCACATGATTAGTATTCTGTTTAAAATGGTTTGCTATGCATTATCCGTTCACATGCATAAACACGTATATGAGACTATAAACGTACTACAGTTCCTATATTTCTCAATTATAGCTAACAGTGCTCAATGCAGGCCGTCGATACTTGGGGGTGGAGAATCTGTCTGGCAAAGTCTTTGTCACATCTGGCCTTGGAGGAATGAGTGGTGCCCAAGCAAAATCTGCAGTCATTGCTGGATGTGTGGGAATTATTGCTGAGGTAAACCTCTGTATTTAGTTGTACCTTTCTGCTTTCATTCAAGTTGTCCTACTCTTCACTTTCCAGTTATATCCATTCATTCTTTCTGTGTTTAGAAACTGGCATTAGATGTCAGCAGACCCAAGAAAGTTCCATACCCATTTGCACTTTGATTCAGGTGATCCTCAGAGTACAGGTAGTCCTTGACTTACAACCACAATTGAGCCCAAAATTTTTGTTGCTAAGTGAAACATTTGTTCAGTGAATTTTGTCCCCCTTTATGACTTTTTGTGCCACAGTTGTTAAGCCAATCACTGAAGTTGTTAAGTTAGTAACATGGTTGTTGAGTGAATCTGGCTTCCCCATTAACTTTGTTTTTAAGAAGGTCACAAAAGGTGATCACATGACCCCGGGACACTGCAACCGTCATAAATACGGTTGCCAAGCATCTAAATTTTGATCACATGACTGCGGGGATATAGGAATGGCTGTAAGTGTGGAAAAATGGTCATAGGTCACGTTTTTCAGTGCCATTGTAACTTTGAATTGTCACTCAATGAACTGTTGTAAGTCGAGGACTACCTGTACAGGTAAACCTCCAAGTGGCCTCAATGACTCTCAGATAGCTAACAGCTGATCTTAAGAGTGCTAACGATCATATGACTGCTAAGAATATAAATCCCTCCATTCCCCACCATTCAGCCAGAACTGAAGAAGCTTCTTGGATGAGAAATAAAACATTTTTAACAACAACAACAACAAAACGCCAAGAAAGCCCAGTTGCCTTTTGAAAAGCACCCTTGGGACAACTGTGACCTGGATAATTGAGAATCTGCATAGACAATGGGCTCCATGGGATCCTTACAGTAGGCAAAAGTTTCAGAGTAATGGAAGCAGCATCCTGATACCACAAGGCAAGCCCTGCCCCTTTTCTGTGTGCAGGCCAATAGGAGCAAAACTTGTAGGATGCTTCAGTGCTGTTTGCATTTTCCTAATGAAAGCAGAGTGAGCTTGCAAGATTCCACTGAATGGGATAATTCAACACTAAAAGAAGATATACAGTTCATCTTCTAATCTAAAGCATCTTCAGACAGGAGTTTTGCTAAGAAAAAAACTTTTAAAATCTCAGATACCTGATACATATCTTCCACAAAAGGATTTTGTGGCTAGCCAATAATGAAATGTTGAACTATTATTTTTATCTTTTGCTCTTCTTCTAAATATCACATTAAATAATCCCTTCATATCCATCCAAGCAACTTGCATAGATTTTATGCATCAATAACCACATTCAGGATGCTTAATGTCTAAGTACTGCAGTTATTTCATCCCTCGTCTAACCATCTAAGAAGACCCCAATAAACAATGCTAGTATACCAAAAATGGGTCAAAACAGCAGCTATCCTTGCATGCTTCTTCCATGTGGAACTTTGTCTCTCTGGTATTTAAAATATGATGGATGGAGGAAGCAGTCTTTGTCATTCTCTAAAAAAAGATGCATTCCTTCAAATAGTCTCTCTAATTTTTTCTGTCTAGAATGACAGCAGTCCTAAATTGTTTTTCTGATGTCAGCTCCATTTTATTTATAACTGGCTTACAATACTATGAAATGTATTTGAATATTAGTAGCTCGGATTGGTAGTTAGTTAGGCTGTTGGTTTGAGCTCTGAGCTTGACAATTTGGTTGCAAACATTTTGTCACCATTTGAGGAGACGTCGCCAGTGCGCTTTGAGTTGACACTGACGATGTCTCCTCGAATGGTGACAAAAAGTTTGCAACCAAATTGCCAAGCACGGAGCTCAAACCAACAACCTAATTACAATAGTATTACTGTTTTCAAAGTCAGTATACTGGGTTATGGATGCCAGTAATTATTTTTAATACCAGTAATATGCAAAGAGAACATATAAGTTTAAAAGTTGGAATCTTATTATTATTAATAAAACTGAGTTGAAGCCAGGTTTTTTCTTGAAAAAAAAATTATATGTAATAACAGTGTTAATCTGCCCTTCTCCATCCTATATCATTTGTAAGGTTTTTACGGCTGGCTAATGAATAAGTACATAGTAATGAATAAGTAATGAGTAAGTAATAAGAGAGATCTTATATAGAGTTTTCTAATAATTGTTAAAATCTTAATGCTTAAGAATAGAGATGTTTCACTGCTTGAGAATGGGTAAGTAAAATTAATCATTATAGGCAAAACCCAAATCTTTATGTTTCTCTAATTTATTTCTCAATTTTCTCATTGCTTTCTTAGAAACTGATATACACAGATAAGGTTAGCCGCAGTGATTTCAATAGGCTTAAAGAGTCTGATGGTATGGCCATCTATTGCAGGGCAAACATATCTAGGTTGCAAATCTCCAGACACCCACTAGATGACAACAAAGAGAATTTTCCATATCATCATAATTCGCCAAAAGCTTGAAGCCCAGATTCAGAAACTCTACATACTGCATATTAAGTCCACAAAGTTTAACAGAGCCTTCTTCCAGATGTTTATGTATAGAATGTTATATTTCATGAATTTAATTCCCCCATGGTCTTGTACAAGCTGCATACAGTCCTGCCATTCCAATCTTGCTTCGTGAGAAAATTCTTCTGTCTATTTAAATCAGAGTAAGGAGGGAATTTGCTATTGAGAAGATGCAAATGTTGTTGGGCAGAGCCTAATTTTTGCTGCAAAGAGGTTGACAAATAGGTCATATCTTTCTCATTCAAGAATCCCCAAGGAGATGAAATGGCTTCATGTAGATCAAGCCTCAGGGTTACAAGTTTAGAGCTATTAAATACAGCAAGACAAGCTTTCAATTTACTTGCATAATTTTTCACTATTGATTGGGAGAGAATCTTTTTTCTAAATTGGTTCTAACAGGAAATTTCACTCATAATTTGTGTTTCTCAGACTATGAACAGACTTGTTCAAAACTAAACTTGTCACACTGTGATGGTGATTAACTTTAATTTTTTACTTGCTCACAATGCATATAAAATACAGAAAGATTAATTGTGGCTGATTTTTTCCTCCTATAATACAATCTCTCAGGTTGACGAAGCTGCCCTCTTAAAACGTCATAATCAGGGATGGCTGATGAAAATAACTAGAAGTCTGGATGATTGCATTGCTCAACTTAGGTATGGCTCATAAAGTATGTTCTTTAATGTCTAACAGAATAACAGAGTTGGAAGGGATCTTGGAGGTCTTCCAATCTAATCCCCTGCTTAAGCAGGAAACGCCCATATCATTCTAGACAATGGTTGTCCAATCTCTTCTTTAAAATCGCCAGTGTTGGTACACTTACAACTTCTGAAAGCAACCCATTCCACTGATTAATTGTTCTCACTATCAAGAAATTTCTTCAAAATTCAAAAGATTGGATCTTTTTTTGATAAATTTCCATCCGTCACTCCTTGTCTTGCCTCAGGTGCTTTGGAGAATCGATTCACCCCCACTTCTTTGTGACATCCCTTCCAATATTGGAAGACTGCTATCATGTCACCCCCTAGTCCTTCTCTTTGTTAGACTAGACATACCCAGTTCTTGCAACCATTCTTCATATGTTTTAGCTTCTAACCCTCTAATCATCTTTGTTGTCTCACTAATTAATATGATATGCCAGCCCAAGACTTGAGAATGTCTTTGGAGTTTGGAGAAAAACAACCTACACTTCAAAGACTGACATATTTTGCAACATCTGTAAATGACTGTTGGACAAACAAGCAGGTTCCAGGTTCCACAAACCTTTGATTAGCTCTCATCCATACAAGACTTTGCAGTTAGTTATAAACTGGCCCAGAGGTCATCATCCAAGTCCTAACCAGGTCCAAACCAGCCAAGGTCAATTAGGTGCTTTAACCAAATTATCTTTGTTAGGAATATAACATATAGGCTAAGCTTCTTAAGGGAAAAAAATAGAAACAAGTTCAATAACAGGAGCCTGGATAGCTCAACAGACTAAAAGCCTGTTATTAACATTTAGCTGTCTGCAATTATTGCAAGTTCAGATCTCCCCAGGCTCAAGGTTGACTCAGCCTTCCATCCTTTCTAAGGTAGGTAAATTGAGGACCCAGTTTGTGGGGGCAATAAGCTGACTTTGTATAAAATATACAAAAGTATGAAGGCTATTGCTTAACGCATTGTAAGCCGCCCTGAGTCTCCGGAGAAGGGCGGCATATAAATCTAATTAATATATATATATATATATATATCCTTTCACATAAATACCATTTATTTCTACCGTTGTCATATGTGGTTAATCCAGTAGTGGAGTTCAAATCCTGGTGTTACCGGTTCACTATTGGGAAGGTTCTGCGCATGCGCAGAGCATTTTTGATGACATCTGGGCGGGTGGGCAAAGCCTCCCGCCACTGCCGCTACCGGTTCACATGAACCGGGGCGAACCAGTAGCAACCCACCCCTGGGTTAAACCCTGTAACATTTTTATTCTGGGCGAATACTTTGTGGAGAGAAGCTTAGAGTAGTCATTAAGGTACCAGGCTGGACATTAGGAAACCACTAGTCCCACTTTAGCCTCAAAGCCAGTTCTGTGACCTTGGGCTGGTCACTCTCACTTCACCCTTAGAAGCAAGCAATGGCAAACCACTGCCAACAAAACTGCAGGGCTAGTATAGGTAGTCAGTAAAGAGTCAAAACATACTTGAAGGCATTTTCCTGTCCCCATAAACAATTATTTTACATCCTTAATGCTAAAATTCTGTTTAAAATATTTACACAGAGAAGCAAAGAAGAACAAGATGACCCTTAGTTTGGGATTTCATGGGAACGTGGTAGATCTTTGGTAAGTAGGCAGTTGATCAATGATCCTCTTGACAGTGATATGTTTTTAATATTTGTTATTTTAACTTCCTTGTTACAATACTGTGGTGGGATTCAAAATTTTTTACTGCTGGTTCTGTTGGCGTGGCTTGGTGGGTGTGGCATGGCTTGGTGGGCATGGTTTGGTGGGCGTGGCAGGGGAAGGATACTGTAAAATCTCCATTCCCACCCCACCCCAGGGGAAAGTTACTGCAAAATCCCCATTTCCTCCCAATCAGCTGGGACTTGGGAGGCAGAGAATAGATGGGGGCGGTTCTCCGAATTATTCAAAATTTCCGCTACCAGTTCTCCAGAACTGGTCAGAACCTGCTGAACCCACCTCTGTTACAATAGCTATAAACTGAAATAGATCTTTACTTTTAATTGAGTATTTCACTTTCCTTTGCTCCAAATGTGTGTGGTATTTTTCCTACTGTATGTTACTGTTGTTTATACATGAGAACAACTCTTTTTAGAAGCTCTGATGCAATTTGGAATTCATTTCCTTGATTTATAATATGAATGGTTCAATGCCACATTTTGTTTTTCCTTGTAGAACAAAAGTGATTTATTTTTTAGAAACAAAGTTGATAATGTGTTAAGTGACAGCATTTCATTGTCTGATTGTGATCATCATTGCAGACTGATGGGTGTGTGCATATGTTTGAGAAAATGATGCTCAGTTTGCTTCACTTGAAAAAGTATCTGTAAAAGTTTTGAATGAAACACGTCTTTGAAATAAGTGGGATATGTACATGTTTTATGTGTTGACTGAATCATTTATTTCTTAAAATGCATGTTTACCAAATGTGTATTGATCAATAATTCTGTTTAAATTTTCTCAAGATGCTCTTCATTTCTGCTTATTTTTTCTCAGTTTCCTGTTTTCCTCTTTCTGTATGTAGGGAGAGACTGGTGGATGAATTTAATACTACGGGGGAACTATTAGTAGATTTGGGGTCTGACCAAACATCTTGTCACAATCCATTTAACGGTGGATATTACCCAGTACAGCTAAGCTTTAGGGATGCCAACCAACTCATGTCTAGTGATCCCATAAAATTCCAGGCTCTTGTAAAAGAAAGGTATGGCAATCATTTTCATGTTTATTTTAACCACCTGGCAAAGTCTTAAAATGTTCGTTTTCATTCTCTTCTATTTCTTTTAGAAGATTGGGGTGCTAGGTTTTGGACAGAAATGATTCATTTTTGAAGAAGAGTCAGAAGATCAGTCTGCCAAAATCTAGTTATAAACTCTAGACTTCTTGCCACCTTCTCATTAAAGAAATCTTGGCTTGTGAGAAGTTTGCAGTGAAAGTGTCAATGGAGAAATGATTAGTTCCTCTGCACCTGGCAGCATTCATTTAGTTGCCTGCTGGGAAGGGAAGGGGAGGGAAGGGAAGGGGAGGGAGAGGGGGAAGGAAGGAAGGAAGGAAGGAAGGAAGGAAGGAAGGAAGGAAGGAAAGTTTTCTGACACTCCCTGCAAGCATCCCACAAAAAAACTTAATAGAGAAGCCAATTGGAAGTCAGAAATTGAACCCATTCCCCTGAATTTTTGCCCACCGATTATCATTCTGTTTCTCTAGTTAAACAAAAAAGTATCTATGAAATCTTATGGGGACTGGGTAATTTAAAGAAAAATCCGGTGTCTTTAGTATTCTCTGAACTTGGTTGAAGAATGTGGATGAGGACTGCTGTATACTCCCCTGCCCTATCCCATCGTAACATTACTATTGAAGTCTGGAGTTTCTTCTTTTTAGTAAAAAGAAGCCTTGGTGGCGCAGTGGCTAAAGTGCTGTTAAAGTAAAGCCAGCTGCCTGCAATTATTGCAAGTTCAAATCTCACAAGGCTCAAGGTTGACTCAGCCTTCCATCCTTTCGAGGTAGGTAAATTGAGGACCCGGATTGTGGGGGCAATAAACTGACTTTGTGTAAAAAGAACACTGCTTGGAGGGGGGCGAAAGCCCTACTAAGCAGCTATATACAAAAGTATGAAGGCTATTGCTTAACGCATTGTAAGCCGCCCTGAGTCTCCGGAGAAGGGCGGCATATAAATCGAACCAATAAATAAAATAAATAAATAAATAAAAAATTGCAGAAGATTGTTTATTTCAGCAGTGAAAACTGAAGCCAGATTTCTCATCTTCCACATTTACTTAGTAAACTATTGTCCCATAGTTCAAACTGGAGTGTTTTTTTTAAATGATATAAGATGGTGTCAAAAGTAATGTTCCTTTTTTTTTTTGTTTTGTTCTTTCAGTCTTAGAAGACAAGTAGCTGCCATCAACAAACTGTCTGATCAAGGAATGTTTTTTTGGGATTATGGCAATGCTTTCCTTTTAGAAGCCCAAAGAGCGGGTAAGGAGAGAATGTCTTCCCTTTTTCTGGCATGAAGTGCATCACATAATTTCTGAATGGGAGCAGGCATTTTGTATTATTCTTGTGTATTGTATATGATAATTTCATGATCAGATGAAATTATCTGATTCACTGAATGCAAAAGTACTTCTCTGTAGGATTGTTATAAATTCCTGTACAATCCTGTTCCCAACTAGCCCTGTTAGAATTATAGAATAACAGAGTTGGAAGGGACCTTGGAGGTCTTCTAGTCCAACCCCTGCTTAGGCAAGAAACCCTACACCACTTCAGACAAATGATTATCCAATCTCTTCTTAAAAACTTCCAGTGTTGGAGCATTCACAACTTCTGGAGGCAAATTGTTCCACTGATCAATTGTTCTAACTGTCAGGAAATTTCTCCTTAGTTCTAAGTTGTTTCTCTCTTTGATTAGTTTCCACCCATTGCTTCTTGTCCTACCCTCAGGCGCTTTAGAGAATAGCTTGACTCCCTCTTCTTTGTAGCAGCCCCTGAGATATTGGAACACTGCTATCATGTCACCCCTAGTCCTTCTTTTCATTAAACTAGACCTACCCAGTTCTAGCAACCGTTCTTAATATGTTTTAGTCTCCAGTCCACTAATCATCTTTGTTGCTCTTATCTGCACTCTTTCTAGAGTCTCCACATCTTTTTTACATCATGGTGACCAAAACTGGATGCAGTATTCCAAGTGTGGCCTTACCAAGGCATTATAAAGTGGTATTAACATTTCATGTGATCTTGATTCTATCCCTCTGTTTATGCAGCCTAGAACTGTGTTGGCTTTTTTGGCAGCTGCTACACACTGCTGGCTCATATTTAAATGGTTGTCCACTAGGACTCCAAGATCCCTCTCACAGTTACTACTATTGAGCAAAGTACCACATATACTGTACCTGTGCATTTTGTTTTTTTTGCCTAAATGTAGAACCTTACTTTTTTCACCATTGAATTTCATTTTGTCAGATAGTGCCCAATGTTTCAAGATCCTTCTGTATCTTAAGCCTATCTTCTGCCTATCTTCTGGAGTGTTGCCTATTCCTGCTAGCTTGGTGTCATCTGCAAATTTGATAAGTTCCCTATCTATCCCCCTTTCCAAATCATTGATGAAGATGTTGAAGAGTAATGGGCCTAAAACAGAGCCTTCGGGTACCTCACTGCATACTTCCCTCTGTGTAGATGCAGTTCCATTGAGGACTACACATTGAGTGCAGTTGGTCAACCAGTTACGAATCCATCTGGTGGTGATGCTGTCTAACCCACATTTTTCTATTGTGTTCTTAGTCAGCGCAGCATTATCCAGTCCTATTTTATTGAACTGCTGTTTTGCTTGGTGTTGCATTTCCTTCTCACTGAACATTTGCCTTTAAATTCTTTGGAAGGTGCTGATGTTGCAAAAAAAGGAGGCAGCAAGGGAGAATTCCGATACCCTTCCTATGTTCAACACATTATGGGGTATGTACAAGAGGAAAATACAAAACATCAATCCTTTTCTATCTAGAAAGGAATGTGTCTGGGGACGGGGATGGGAAAAGGGAAGACCCAAAAGAGCTGCCAGATGTCAGCTTTCTTTTTCTTAAATCACTTTAAGTAACGTTCACATTGGCTCAATTGCCTTGTAGGAGCTAAAGGCTATAAACTGGATTCTGAGTGCTGCATATCATAAATATTTTGGGAAGTTGTGAAAGAAATCTGAACTAGAGAAAAGTAATGTGACAGTTATAATAATAACGATTCAAATGTGTGTGTGATAAATCCACATATTTTTCTTCACTGAGGCTTGGTGAAATGTGACCAATACATTTATCTGTGTACCAACTTCTGCATTGCTACCGTGTTTCCCCCAAAATAAGACCCTGTCTTATATTTTTTTGAACCCTGAAATAAGCGCTTAGCCTTATTGCCATGCGCTCAAAAGCCCGATTGGGTTTATTATCAGGGGATGTCTTATTTTGGGGGAAACAGGGTAGATACTTAAGGTTAGCTCTTTTGCTTCTCTCTTCCCCATGATTGCCATACCTTTGCATTTGCAGGCCTAACCTGGATGATGCACTAGCAGGCCCTTTCAACTCGTGACTGAATGAATCTTTATTACAGTCAAAGACCATAGATAAAAGGTGTAAACAAAATTAAATACAAGTAGAATAACACAGGCAATTGTAATAGTTGATATTAAAAGTACTTTGCAACTGGATTCCTGTTACTTTGGCACAGCAATGACTAGTAAACTCAAGTGGCCAAATGGCCACAGATACATACGTTGCTTATGTCTGCAAGTAAAGCTTTATTTAAAGTTCTAAAATAGGGATTCAAAGAGCTTTGTGTTTGGATTAGTCTGTTCGAAATAGCTGAAATTCTTCTATCCTCGGTTAATGAAAGAAAAGCATCGCGAACCATAAGTATAAATAAAACAGGAATGTAAGCTATCTTTTTCAATATTTAACTGTGTTTTCTTCCCAGAGATATTTTTTCTATGGGATTTGGCCCATTTCGGTGGGTTTGCACCTCTGGTGACCCAGAAGACTTGGCAACCACTGATTTTATATCCACAGCAGTGCTTGAGGAACTTATACATCAGGGAGGTAAGATGTGTTGTCTTCTAGGTACAGAGGGTGAATAATAGAGCACGAGAAAAATAACTTGCAGTTAATTATACTTTGTAATTTTAGACTATAACTATCAAATTATTATATTTTGTGAGGAATTAAAAGCTTTTTTTCCTCATATGTATTGTGTGGAGAAATTGCACTTGCTCTAAATTATCTCTATCATATGTACTGTAAGGTACATACAGTATATGTTTATTATTACCAATGGAACTTCCTTGCATGTGACCATAACTGTGGCCTTGAACTTCTTCAGGCTGTTCCTGAATGTGTTTTATTCAGCACTGCATATATTTTAGTATTTCGGGCAAGGGATATATATACAATTTCATTCATTCATTCATTCATTCATTCATTCATTCATTCATTCATTCATTCAAATATTCTTCAGACTTAGTGAATCATACAAAAGGCCTGGTGACGACTGCATAGGCATATCCAGTGGTGGGTTGCTCCCAGTTCGGTCCAGTTCTATAGAACTGGTAGTAAAACCGGTGGGAGGCTCCGTCAACCTGCCATGACATCACCATGGGTGATCTGCGCATGCGCAGAAGCACATGCATGCGCAACCAAAGCAAGTGCGCATGCACGCTCCCATTGCAAACCAATAGTAAAGGTAAGTGGAAACCACCCCTGGGTATATCCCTACAAATTTCTTGGCAAACAACTTGCCATTGTCTTTTTCTGGGATATTTCCTCAATTTGGATAGAATTTTAACTGGAAAAATAAATTGTGGCTGGCCTTGCCCCCATAGCATTCATGTTATAACAAGTATCTGGGCACTGTTGTAGTGCAGCATTTACAAGCACTTTCAGAATTTTCAGATATGTTCATGTAGATCAAAGAAGACACGAAGATCTATTGAGGCCTACAGAAGATATTTAGGAGCTATAAGACACAACTTCAAATCTTCATAGAATATGAATGGGTTAATCTATCAGCCAATAGTGTTGTTTGAGTGCTTTTCATTATATTAGGTCTTAGCTTCATTTTGTACAAGTATTCAGTGTCTTACAGGAAGGACTTCAGGAAAGACTGCTAAGATAAATTTAAAGATAGGAAAGTTGGTTCCCAGAGAGATTAGAAAAATGTACTATAAAGAATTATTTGCAAACTTTCTTGTTATCAACAAGGAGACCTGCCTCTATTTAATCATGGAAATATATTGATTTTAAATTGAAAATAGTTCACTTGCTTGTTATTCCATCCCGATCACAAATCTTGTTAAAAAATTATGTGAGAATCATGCTTGCAAAAGAATTACTTTCAGTTTGAGGCAGTAGTCATAGAGTCTGGCACCATCTATGGTAGTCTTCCCAGACAGGAATTCTTCCTAGCCTTCCTGAAGAAGTTCAGATTGAATGTAGGACCTTTTCTACACGAAGTCTGAGAACCAGGGCTTCTGAGAGGTAGAGACAACTTTCTGCTAGCATGGCACTGTAGCAATTTGCAGATTATTTTCATGAATACTGTTGGATGATAATATTAAGACAGCATCCATCTAACTGAGGACTGGGGTGTTCCATAATGTCAAATATTATGAAAGCTGGGCTATTCTTATTCCCAAAGAGCAGAAGATCTCTGAAGTTATGCTATCCAGTTTTGGAAAAGCTGCCTTGCATTTCCCACCGTTCAAACTAGAAAACAGCCCTAAATATTTTTAATACATGGTAAATTTAGAGAAGATATATTCATTTCGTAATAAAATAACCACTGGAATTAAATAAACATATATTTAAAGTGACCTTTTACATTCCAGCTGACTGAAGCAGATTTGGTGGCAATTTAATTACTGGATTTGCTGTTATGGTTGGCAGAGAAATGAGCAACAGAATTTAGACAGAAATGATAGCTGAACCTCAGGGGAAACTTGCCTGTTATTCTTTCTTAGAATACCTACTGACCTCTTTGTTACTCAGTGTTCTGCTTGTGGTTTCTCACTTTCCCATGTACCAATATTATTTTAAACATAGTAGTGTAATGAGAAATCAAATTCAGAGTAAGGTACTTTGAAGAAGATATAATGCTTTGCCATCAATCTGGCCTATAGTGCACCCCATATTTATTAGAAATTGATAATAATATGGGAGCAACTATACTGGTGGTCAAGGAAACAGAGGGTGACTTATTATTATGTCCTTAATGTTAAGAGCCTGAAACTTCAATTATTATTGTAGTTAAGTACTGCCTATTGCAAGAGCAAGCAAGTGAATGGGAAGAACTAACAGGATTTTTGCTGAGGGAATTCCATCAGGAGGAAGAGAAGAGTGTGGCTAGAGAAACTGTGTATTTTGAAGGATTAGATGTTGAGCTGTGAGGATAAAGATAATCTCCAGCATAGCTGCTGGTTGTAAAGGGTATATCCTGACAGCCGCTAAACGCTCATTGTGAGTGATTGGGTGACTGTTTATTACTGAGTAAAGAAAATATTATCAGGAACAGGTTATATCCTGCCTATTCACCTGCCCTCCCTGGTTTCCTGATGAAACCCATAGCTTTTATTGAAGTTTGAATCAAAAGAGCACTAGCCCTAATACAGTGCCTCCATTCCCAGCCACCCATCCCAAGCCAGTCCAGATGGATTTCATGATTGATGATTTTGAAAGTTGCTGAGAGATCATGGAGGGGTAGGTAGAAGCATGATCAGGAAACATCCATCCTAGGATTTTGAACCAGCTAATTCTCTTGGTCAAACTCTTATTAATTATCTTTGAGAAACCTCAGAGTACTGGTGAAATGCCAGAGAATGGCAGCAGAGCAAATGTCTGTATGTTCAAAAGAGGAAAAATAGACCCAGGAAATAACAGAGCAGTCAGTCTGCCATCAATATCTGAGAAGATTCTAGACCAGTTCACAAAGCTTTGTAAAGTTTTATAAAATAAAAATATGTGTGTAATCACTTGAAAACAATGCAATGCTACAACTTTAAATAGCATCAACACAAGTATAATTTCCAGATCATGGGAAATAATTGAGCAGATTTCATTGTAAGTATTGTATCCAGTTTTTGGTCACATTTTTAAAAAACATTCAGAGAAATTGAACATAACAGCCACAGCAACAAAAATGATAAAAGAATTAAGAACATACCTCTCTGAAGAGAGATTGGAAAAGTTGGATATGTTTATCCTTTAGAAATGATTTCTTGGTGGGTTTATTATAATCCTCTTCACATTCCTGAAACAATGTTACAGAAAAGAAAGTCAAAACTTGTTTTCTAGTGCAGGACATGAAATAATGGATTTAATTCATAGGAAAGCCAGATTATAATTATCCTGAGAGGTGTTGTATTCCCCTTTGTTGGATGTTTTCAAGTGAAGACAAGACAACCATCTATATGCACTGATTTAATTCACTGAACACTGGAATTGATTACCTAAATGGTCACTTCAACTCTATGATTTTCTGATCTTAAGTAATCATTTTTAATGTTGAATTACATCAATTGTATGTGCACGTATCTCAGGGTACATGTATGGATATACATTTGCATATCTATATGAACAGAATGCACACTGTGACAATCTTTTCAGTGCTTGACCATGGAGAATCAGTTGTGAACCAATTCATAACCCTCTATCTTATCAAGCATAAATGTGACGTATATAATATGAAGAACAAGTAAAAAGTAAAAAGAACCAGAATATGTGCTAAAACAGTATCCCTAGAGCAGTGGCCCCCAACCTTTGGACACTAGGGACTGGTTACATGGAGAGAGATTTTTCCATGGACCAGAGTGGGCATGGATCAGTGGTGGGTTCCTCCAGGTTCGGCCCGGTTCGGCCGAGCTGGTAGCGGTGACGATATGACGTCACTGAACCGGTTCTCTTTGTTCAAGAGGTGGGCCCTCCTGCCCCCCGCCCCGCATTATTCGTACCTTTTATTTGGCCCCACCCCCAATCTATTCGCTGCCTCCCGAGTCCCAGCTGATCGGCTAGAAGGAAAAAAACTGTTTAAACTCTTGCCGCGGGGCTTCAAAGGGCCGCCTTACAGCTGATCAGTGTTAAAAGGCAGTGTGGTGGTAGACCAATGCGCTCGAAAACCAAATGGGTAGACCGGTGCCTCCAAAACAAATGGGTAGACCGGAATGTTCCAAGAACAAATGGGTAGACTGGTACAGCTCTGCAAGCAGTTAAAAGCCTGGTAGACCAGTACCTCTGCTAAATCCTAAAGAATTGTCACATGGCCATCAAACCACACCCATAAAATAAACCACACCCACAGAACCAGTAGTAAAAAATTTTAGAACCCACCCCTGGTGTGAATTTGTGTGCTGCTTGCATCCTCTGGGTGGGGCTTTGCTTGTTTGCGTGGCCCGGGGGTTGGGGACCCCTTCCCTAGACCATGGCTGTAATGGGAGTACAGTGATGCGAAATAGTTTTAAGGAAAGAATGTACTCCCTGTCCTCGGTATATTTAGATGGGCTTGGATGGAGTACAAAATGAAATAGAAAACAAATCACAAATTTTTGACATTGGGAGTCAACTTCCTTTCTGAGACAATGTTGATGAGATCGAAGTGTGCTTTCAGTATCTTTTATACTCTTAATAAAATCAATAAACAGGAGGGATGACAAAGTAAACTGAAGTAGTAACTTTTTATAGAAGTGAAAGACAAATGGGTGCAAAATGCAGGCTTGGTGATTTCTAGTGTGCAACTATTTGTGTTTCCAGAATTTTTCAACAAAGAAGACACTAAGCTGCAGAAAGGAAACAAAGTTCATGCCATAAGTGTGCATTTTCTTGTAGGAGTGTGAAAACTATATAAATTAGACTGTCAGGACTTTCCCAACAATTTCAGTACTTCAGGAAAAATGTTCAAAGTCCAAAATAGTGGAAGGATGTTAATCTGTCTATGATGGGCAGATGAACTGCAATACTTAGATGCATGAAGAGAGATAAAATCATGAAACATTTTAAAAACATTGTGCTTCCCAACAGTAATGAAGAAACAGCAACTTTGCCATTTTTTTTATTTTACAAAATGCTCTTCTTTGGATATTGTCTGAATATTTGTTCAATATCCAGAAATACTTTGAAAAATAAGATATATTAATTGCTTTTCTGATTTTAACATTGTTTCCGTATATTTTCACAAAGGCTTCTTTCATAATGTATTGCAAATCCCTTTTATTCTTAATTCAGTACTTACCTTTCCATGTCAAGAACCCTTAATTCATATTCATTAATGGTACTGTTCTTTTAGGCTTTCGAAGAATTTCACAAGCTTTTTTGAAAGAAATATATTGTCATTTTATATTTATTTATTTATAGAAAATTTATATTGCCACCTACTTGCACATGGCGACTCAAGGTAGCTTACTGTGTGTGTGTGTGTGTGTGTGTGTGTGTGTGTATATATATATATACATCTTTCAACATAGAAAAAACCCTGATTGCAAAAATATCGCACATTTATACCTATGAATTAAAAGAAATATATATATATATATATATATATATATACACATACATACATACATACATACATACATACATATATGTATTTCTCTTTAGCCAGGTTCTTCCTACGTAAACCAAGATTTTTATGCAGCCCTAGTTCAGTGAAATCACAATCCACTCGTTTCTAGGCTTTTTTCAGGCAGCCAGCAAGTACCCTGTTGCCCATTGGGAGACTAAGGAGACTAAGATAGATCTATTTCGGACTTATTAGTCCTCATCAGTTAGCCACACCCTCATCCCATGTATCTTCCCTGTAAAGGTACAGTATTTGTTTTCTTTTTGTAGGCCTTTATGTGTATTTCTCTTTAGCCAGGTTCTTCCTATGTAAACCAAGATTTTTATGCAGCCCTAGTTCAGTGAAATCACAATCCACTAGTTTCTATATATAAAGGCCTACGAAAAAAAAAGAAAACAAATACTGTACCTTTACAGGGAGGATACATGGGATGAGGGTGTGGCTAACTGATGAGGACTAATAAATCCGAAATAGATCTATCTTAGTCTCCCAATGGGCAGCAGGGTGCTTGCTGGCTGCCTGAAAAAAGCCTAGAAACTAGTGGATTATGATTTCACTGAACTAGGGCTGCATAAAAATCTTGGTTTACATAGGGAGAACCTGGCTAAAGAGAAATACACATAAACGCCTATGAAAAGAAAACAAATATACATATATATGTATATATGTATGTATATATACACACACACTATATCTATTGCAATTATTATTGTTATTCTTTTTATTTATGCTTTTTTAAAAAAAGTTGTATTGATTTCTACACTCCCCAAAGAATGATGTTTACTGGGTAATTTGGAAATATAATACATAAATAAATGTGCCATCTCCTCTATATCTTTCTTCTTTTTTCCCTTTTCCTGTTACAGGTATTCCTTGACTTATGACCATAATGGAGCCTAGTCATTTTGTTCATAAATTGTGATGGTTGTAAAGCAAGTTGCCATATGACTGGACCCAATTTTGCAACCTTTTTTGTGACAGTTGTTAAGTGAATGCAATGGTTGTTAGGTGAACTAGGAGGCATTTTTTTGCTGGAAACTGGAAGTAAATGCCAGTTTTTGGCAAAAAACCATAAATTGTGATCATATGAGCACATGGCGCTGCAAAGAGCTGTACATGCAGTCTGTTTGCCGAGTGTCCAAAATGCAATCATGTGTCTGCAGGGGGTTACGTTGGAACTTCAGAACTGGGTGGTAAGTAGCTTTTGAGATGTCTACTATAACTTCAAATGGTCACTCAGCAACCAAAGACTACCTGTATTCATGTCAACCTAGATTACAAATATATTGAACTGGAACTTGTATGCAGGAAAATGGCTGATGGAATATTCCCTGTCGCCCCGGCCCCTGATGAATAATCAAACCCCCCCTTCCCTCATATTTCTTCATGCGTTTATTTTTTCCTTTTTAATTCTTAGAAAATATTCTCAATGGGGAATACTTAAAGTAATAAAACCTCAAAGACATTAGATTCAAATGTAAAATTAATTATGATTTATTCAGTCCAAATTGAATACAAATTGTCCCCTCTCATTTTTCATTTACTGGAATGTACATATTATCTACACCGATATTATATGGGAATTGCTTTAATTAGCATGTCAAATGGTTAATGCTGAAAAACATAAATTGCAGCATGTCTACTAAAATATGTCTATAAATTACAATTGTATCAGCATTTATCTGACAGTCGTAAAGACAATTCCAGTTAGTGCTTACACAATGTAACCTTTTTGATTGTATGGGACAACCATCATCATGCCATCGTGGTAAAAATCTGATTATGACTATTTTAAGGAGGCACATATTTCGCCATTGCAATGAGAGGCATCTTTAAAGAAAAGAAGAAAAATTATAGAGAAATTGAGATGGTAGTTCTGAGGTCCTTAACTCTTTTGAATATCAGATTTTATCCATTTGCTTTCTAAGATGACTTTAAAAAATAATTAAAGGCTGTTATTTCCCCAACCTTGCTTATATTGGATTGAAAGTTCCAAAATTTCCAGCATAGTGGTTGGGAATTATAGGTAGTTCTCAATTAACAATCACAACTGTGACCAGAATTTCTGTTGCTAAAGAAGGCAGTCATCTGCGGTTTTACCTTTTGTACCACAGTTGTTAAGCAAATTACTACAGTTGTTGTGTGAATCACCCCCCCCCCCCCATTGACTTTGTTTCAGGGGTGAAATCCAAAATTTTTCCATACCGGTTCTGTGGGCATGGCTTGGTGGGCGTGGCAGGGAAAGGATGCTGCAAAATCTCCATTCCCTCCTCTCCTGGGGGAAGGATATTGCAAAATCTCTATTCCCACCCCACTCTGGGGCCAGCCAGAGGTGGTATTTGCCGGTTCTCCAAACTACTCAAAATTTCTGCTACCGGTTCTCCAGAACCTGTTAGAACCTGCTGGATTTCACCCCTGCTTTGTTTGTTGGAAGCCAGCAGGAAAGGTTTCAAATTGGGATCAGAGAATTCTATGATACTGCAGCCATAATAAATATATGCCAGTTGCCAAGAGCATAAATTTTGATCACAAGATCATGGAGGTGCTGCAACAGTCATAAGCGTGAGGACTAGTTATAAATCACTGTTTTCAGTGTTGTTGTAACTTTGAACAGTCACTAAACAAATGGTTGTAAGTCAAAGACTACATGTATATTATCTCATATGTTTGGAGAGGTTCTGATTTTGGAAGACTGTCCTATTATAGTTCACCAAACCCTCAATAGTTACCAATATTATTTATATCTGGTAAATACTTGCATATAGTACATTTTTCTTGCAGAATTTGTCATGCAGTATAATCGCTGCAAGACTCAAATATTTTGGTTATTTCTCTTTAAAAGGTTGACATGTTAATTTTTGTATTCTGATTCAGATTTTGTACTCTACTCAGAAAGGCAGGCCTGAAATATCTCATTATCAAGCATTTATTAATAGGTGCATTTTATATTTCTCTTGAATAATATATTGAACTTGTTTACAGCTGTGCTGTCCTTTTCTTGCTTCCAGACAATGCAGTTACCTATAAATCTAAAGACAACTGAATATTTTATTTCTTTCTCTTGTGATAATTTGTATACTATCACTGGACTCCTCCCAAAGGCAGGTGTTTTCGGCACTGTTTCGTGGATACTTCAGAATCTGTTTGTAAACTGCCAGTGATCTTTTGATACTGCTTTGGTGAACCATTTTGTATTATCTTCTCTTGCCTAGCAAATGCATCTGTGAAACAGCAGTATTATGATAACATACGCTGGATTCAGGAAGCCAGAAGACATAATTTGGTATGTAAATTCAACTATAATCATTCTTAATTGGAATACAGTGCCATTATTTTATATTTTAATTCTGTTTATTTTTATGATTTTTAATTCGCCATTCTGCCCATAAGATACTCAAGGTGATTGACAATGTTAAAAGATGCCTTAAAATCATTTCTTGAAAGAACATGTAGCAGTTTTATCATCCCAATTCCATTGCACAGTAGGGCATCCAATCAAAGTCAAGACCCCTTCATGCTTGTCTGTTGAAGCAATTTTCACATACTGTAATCCAATCTCTTTCTATTAATCTCATCTTGACCTACTTCCTGGGCTTAACATTTAAAATGGCTAGCAGGACCCTCATGGTTATTTTTCTATTTTAAAAAAATCTTTTACTCGAAAATCAGATGCCAAGGAGAAGATAAGGATGTTTATATGTAAGATTAGACTTTGTAAGTAGAAAAAGTTTGGGCAGAAGGCTGCCATCTATAGCCTAAATGGTACTAATGGAACAGAATATTTGTAATTCAAGGTTGAACTGTGGAGATCCTTGGTGCTCTCTGAATTTTGTGGTTTTCTTGCAGATGCTTCATTACCAAACTAGGTAAAATGTTACCTACTTTGGAAATAAAACATCTGCAAGAAAAACACCAGACTCAGAAAGCACCAGGGACCCCATAGTAACTCTAAAGCCTTACATGCAAAATGTCCCTGGTTTGAAACCAGCAGTATTTTTTCAATTAATATTTTTCTTTCTTTGAGTCACATATTTTTCTGAAGCATTTTTTCATTAAAAAAAAAGGAATTCAGTAGCTCAGGAAATGAAAATAGCAATGTAAAAAAAATATTTCTGCTGGGTTTTGAATCAGGAATATTTTGCACATCAGGCAAGGGTTATAATTATTATCCTAGTAAGGAACATCTGTTGTCACAGCATCTGCAGCAGATGTTACAGAGGGAAGATGAAAGAAAGGAATTTCTTTCCAGCAGCAGGGGAATTAATCATGGTAGCTTGAACTCTAGATTGAATACCTTACAAGCATCTCAGTCTGGACAGGATTGTCTTAAAATTGGTTTGAAGTTAAATCAATGAGAACACAAAGTAAGGGTGCCACATAGCTATGCCCTATATGTGAATTTTGGATTTTCATGCTATAGCACATCCTATCATTGGCAAGCAATATTAGGCCCTACTAGAATGAAGGCTACTGTCTCCTTGCTGAGTTTCAGGCCATAGAATTAGCAGTGTCTTTCAGATATCCCAGGCCTGGGACAATAACATTGCCTCACCAGCTTTAACAATGGTAAAATCAGACTCCGAATCTGTGAGTCTATTTATTCTCAGGAAGCACTTTGAATACTTAACCTGAAGAATTTGTAAATTTGTAAAAAATAATTCCAAATACAACTTAATTCTAATTTGCTATCATTGCAATGAAGTTCTTGTATGATGACTATACAAAATAAATCCTTTAGATGAGTCATTTTTAATGGGAGCCAATATGCTCATCTTTCCAGGGAAAAGCCATATAATGCCTCTAGGAAAAAGTCATTATTGCAAGTTTTTGTATATTACGGGCAAGAAAAACTATGTTTTTAGATTCCAGTTTCATCCTTAGTTCTAGATTTTATCTAACAATAATGTAAGACCTAGTAATAAACTTTAAATCTTGATTTTAAATGAGTGGAAAATGGCAAATATATTCAAAAGTAAATGGAGACAAAATCATAGGTAGAAATCCTTAATTATGGAGGATAGAAATTGTAAACTCACTGTCCTGCTTTCTTCATTAAACAGACAGGCATTTGTCTCTGATCCACATCTGGACTGTGGAGATAACTGATGGATGTTATCATTATATTATTTCTATATTTTAGGTTGTTGGTTCCCAAGCCAGAATTCTGTATTCTGATCAAAAAGGCCGTGTAGCTATTGCAGTGGCTATTAACAAAGGAATTGCTGAAGGAAGAATTAAGGTACAGTTCTTCTGTGCTTTTATTCAGCGTAACCTGTTAATTTTCTTTGACATGGTAGATTGATTTGGAGATTGAAAAGGTCATACTTAGAGAAATAGAATAGATGATGGGACAAGAATGTTTCTTATAAAAATGCAAACCATGTAAAGTCAATGAATTTCCAGTAAAGTAACAAAGACTGATTGTTTGAAATGAGTGTGACTATAATGTAATATTAACTGTAGGTTGTAAACATATCCCATGCTGTCAGATTACTGAATAATTTCTTATTGAAAAACCTCACAGTATTTCCTAATTTAATGAAGATAGGTCTTGTGTACTTCCTGATTCTTTCATTATACAGATGAGGTGCAGAGCCCCAAGACCAAATTCAACCTCTCAACCTACATTTTACAGCTTCTGAAACTATCAGTTTTCAGGTGCATGATTTTCCAGGTTTTTTTGGCACTAAAAATGCAAATATCAGATTGCTGATTTCCCTATTCAGGAACTTTACCTGTAACAGAACAATTGATCTCTTCATCTAAATGAACAGAATTATGCCAAGGAGCCTAGTTGATTCCACTCTATTTTTTTCCCTGTAAACCTGTACTTCTTTTTCAGGCACCAGTTGTTCTTAGTCGAGACCACCATGATGTGAGTGGAGCAGACAGTCCTTACCGAGAAACCTCAAATATCTATGACGGTTCTGCATTTTGTGCAGGTTAGCTGAATAGATTGCAAGTATTTCTAGTAAACATAATTTCTATACAATGAACAACTACATTTCACGCCTATAACTGGTTCGCCTTTTGATGTAAAGATTTCATTTCCCATAATGGTTGCTTGTAAATCAAACTTCCCCAAAACTGCAGCACCTTGGAGAGTAATTCTGCTGTTAGTTCAGAGCAGATCTTTAATCAGGTGCAAGGAGTAGACAGAAAAGGTAATATTAAAACATGATCAGTGAGAAATTGTATCTTGCAAGATGAGATGCAACAAAGAGTTAAGGGGGTAAAAGGGGAGGGGAAATCTGTATTTGAAGCCTGAACTACAGAAAATATTTAGAAGGAAAGAGACAGGAGTTCTCTGCTGGTGATCTTTGGGGCAGAAGGAAACCAGGAAAAAGAGGGATTAGAATGGAATATTTTGAATCCAAGAGTATTCCAGACTGTAACATTTTGTAATAGGCATCAAAGTATGTCTTAATTATGTGTAATCTGAACCTGAGACCAAGATAGTTCTAGAATGGCCAAATATAACAGAAAGCAAAATGCATTTTAAAAGGAGAAATTTCAAACAATAGCAATAGCTTTTAGGCTTATATAGTGCACCATATACAGCACTCTCTTGGGAGTTTACAATGTAAGCAATATTTGCATATTGCTCCCAACAATCTAGGTCCTCATTTTATCAATCTCAGAAGGATGGAAGGCCTTGAGCCCCATCAGGATCGAACTCTAGGCTGTGAGCAGAGTTTGCTGCAGTACTGCAGTCTAACCACTGTAACACCAGGGCTCACAACTTACTTTTCCCTACTTCCAGTTGTCTAACTGTACCTACTGGAAATCTCAGATGGTAGTCCTGCCCTCTTTTTGCATTTGATTATCCCAGGCAGAACTACTGATTTAAATAGATCCTGGTTTTATTCCAATATAAATTTCAAACCAAATTTGTCTCTCTTGAATGAACAGCGATAATAATTTTTAGATTAGCACAATCACTGCAGTGAATAGTTTGTGCCATTCAGGATAGCAAAGTTATGTTCCTACTTCCTGATAATCCTTCAGGATTTAAAAATTTTTTTGTCACTTTATTTTCATATCAGCTAGGTTGTTATGAGAATGTTTGAGCTGGTTTGGTGTAGTGGTTAAGACAGAAAGGCTAGAAACAGAGAGACTGTGAGTTCTAGTCCTGCCATAGGCACAAAACCAACTGGGTGACCTTGGGCCAGTCACTTCCTCTCAGCCCTAGGAAAAAGACAATGGCAAAGCACTTCTGAAAAACCTTGCCAAGAACATTGCATGTCAGAGTCCAAACAGTCTCTGAGATTTGGACTTGATTGAACAGAAGAAAAAAAGGGAGGGCATTTTAAACACCTGCTTCTCTGGCTCAGTAATGCCCTGACAACTGCATGCAGGATGGGAAGTGGTAATAGATATTTTTTTAAAAACCCAAGATGGTGGTCACAGCAGCACACTAAAAACCCCACCTTTACATGCAGACTACATCCATTCATGTACAAAATGGGTAGGTCTTCAATCATGCTGTCATGACTGCCAGCTTGCAGTTTTTGACACCCCCACTGGCACCAGAGTTCTTTATTGAACCTTCTCATCATGATGCTTCTAATAGCCAGCATAGCTTGCATAGGACTGAAACCCAGTTTAAACATCCAGCTATTAATTGGTAAGCAGTGGAGAAATATATATATATATTTATTTGCATTCATTTGAGCTCAGGCTAAATAGGATGTTTTAATTCTAAATGACTAATTCAGATAAATGCAAGAGAGATTTGGGAGAGGCAAAAGGTCTCATGGACTCATTTTTGTTTGTATCAGTGGACATGGAAGATTTATTTATTTTGTAGATTTGTATCTGCAGGAGCTTCTCACTGTCCTGTTTTCTCAGAAGGGAAGTCCTACAAACTTTGGATTTTTTTTAAAAAAAAGAATGCAAGAGAAACAGCAATACCTGAATAGAGCTCATGAAGTGCTGAAACAAAAACTTTGCGTCCCATCCCAATTCTTGAAAGAAATATCTTTCTTTTCCTTTACCATTGAATTCTGTTGTCATGTCTTTCTTTTTCTTCCCTAACAGATATGGCTGTTCAGAATTTTGTCGGAGATGCATTTAGAGGAGCAACCTGGGTTGCCTTACATAACGGTGGTGGTGTTGGCTGGTAAGGAGATTTTACCTTCAAAGGGGAAAAAAAGATGAGCAATGGAAGCGATAGACAGATGGAAAGATATATATATGGTGCTGCAGCTATTCATTGTAGCAAAATGAGGCTTTGCTGAGGAAGTCTGATATGGTTTACTTCCCTAAATGTGTTCTCCAGCAATATTGAATTTTATCTCCCATCATCCCCAAACAGTAGGAGAAGATAGGCTACTTCATGAAATATGTCTCTTTTCCCAGTTCTGGCAGTATTTCTTTGATGATGATGATTTTTTTCAGAATAACTGATGATTACATTTTTCTTATTTTCTTTTATTTAGCAAATTTGTCTTTGATCTTCACTTGTTTTTTAGGAAACCCAAAAGTTCTCTTGAGCGTACTGGCTTTAGGGTTGAAAGAAATTAAAATATAATAAAATACTTGTAAATACTGCACAATTGTTCAACATGAAAGTTATACAAGTTCTGGGTCTTGAATTGCCTCAGGTTAATATGTTTACTGGTGAAATGATTATAGAATCTACATTCAGCTGATGGCTTCTTTCATTACTGATTATGTTTCAACTATATTCAACCTTTCAGAATGATATGCAAAAGGATCATTTTTAAAATTATCAACTTCACTTAATTAGGAGAATTCCCATCTACCAATATGGGTGTCTGGACAATATACACTGAATACCTCCTTCCCCACTTTTTCCCCCTCTCCTCTCCATATGTCACTTTAACATCTCCTAAGTATTTTTTTTTCCCATTTAATTATTTTCTAGTATCCCATGTTAGTTAGGCAGCGACCATAGCACCCTTTGGAAACCTCAATTTATGAAGCAAAAAACAGGTTTCCTTAAGGTGTGTAGGTGTATTAAATTAGCATTCACTTCCAATTCTGTATTCTCGCATCGGCCTTCAAAGTGTCTGTAAAGGAGTTGTGCATTTAGACTCCCATCAAACAACATTTACATCTGTGATCTTTGGACTTCAATATAACATCCCCATATGCTAAAGGCAGCAGGATTTGCTGACATAAAACAGATCAGGTGCACAGCCATCTTTTTCTTCGCTTCTGCCCCTAATTGTTTTTAGTGTGTTTTTTAAAGAGCATAAGAGGAAGAACTCATTTGAACTTTTGGTCATTCTGAGCTCCTCACATCTGCCATTTGTCTCTCCAGGGGACCCCCAAGTAGAAATTTGAGTCCCTACTGCAGTGGGGGGTTTCAAAATTTTTTACTACCAGTTCTGTGGATGTGGCTTGGTGGGCATGGCAGGGAAAGGATACTGTAAAATCTCCATTCCCAACCCACTCCAGGGGAAGGTTACTGCAAAATTCCCATTTCCTCCCTTATCAGCTGGGACTTGGGAGGCAAAGAATATATGGGGGTGGGGCCAGTTGGAATTTTTACTACCGGTTCTCCAAACTACTCAAAATTTCCGCTACCGGTTCTCCAGAACTGGTCAGAACCTGCTGAAACCCACCTCTGTCCTACTGGATGGGTTAACATTAGGCCTCCAAAGACGAGAAGAGCGGCCTATTATGTTTTGAAGGATATAAATAATAATAAAATACATTAAAAACACATCTGCTTCCTCCCTAACAAGTCCATTAATCCCAAGGACTAAAAGGACTTGCAAAAGCTACAACTCAGTCCCCCTGCCTTGCTGCAGCTGTAAGAGACTTTTGAATGCCATGTGGATGTCACCAGTAGTGACAAGGCCAAACAAATGAGGGCTTTGTTTGGAGGCTTAGTAAGATTTAAAGGTAGAATTGAGAGGAATGAGAAAGAAGCAGACATTGTCATTCTTACTCTTAAAAATCATGCAGCTCCCCCACAAAGAGTATTTGCCAAACTCTGACAGTACAAGTTTGTCTAATTCTTTCATTTACATTTACATTTACATTTTATTAAATTTGTATACCGCCCTACTCCCGAAGGACTCAGGGCGGTGAACAGCCATGAAATAAAACATATAAATACAAAATTTAAAATAGAAATAAAACAAGTTAAATAAATTTGGCTGAACCATATTTAAAACCCCAATAATTTAAAACCAAATTTAAAATTCCCATTTAAAAGAGAAGTTTAGGTCAGGCCGGCTTGCTGGAATAGGAACGTCTTAAGCGTGCGACGGAAGGTACGCAGATCCGGAATCCTCCGTATCTCAGGGGGGAGCTCGTTCCAGATAGTAGGTGCCCCCACAGAGAAGGCTCTCCCCCTGGGGGCCGCCAGTCGACATTGTTTGGCCGACGGCACCCGGAGGAGCCCCTCTCTATGGGAGCGTACTGGTCGGTGGGAGGCTATTGGTGGTAGCAGGCAGTCCCGTAGATAACCAGGTCCTAAGCCATGGAGCGCTCTAAAGGTGATGACCAAAACCTTGAAGCGCACTCGGAAGACCACTGGGAGCCAGTGCAGCTCGCGCAGGAGAGGCGTTACATGGGAGCGCCACGTCGCTCCCATCACCACCCGCGCGGCCGCACTCTGCGCCAGTTGGAGCCTCCGAGTGCTCCTCAAGGGGAGCCCCATGTAGAGAGCGTTACAATAGTCCAGACGGGAGGTGACGAGGGCATGATTTCATAATTTCTTTAGAGCAGTTACGGGGGAATAGGAATGATTTATTTCCCAGTAGTTTTCTCTTCTCATTTCAGGCTTTATGTTTAAAGGGAACAGAAGTTTGAAATACTCTACAGCTGGAAACTGGGCAGTCTATTGCTCAATTTCAATGAGATGATTTTTAGGTGCTTGTTGGGACCATATACAGCTCATGGCACACGAGTTGCCTATCCTTGCTTTAGAAAACAGATGTGTTGGTTAAAGTACTTCCACAGAGTTTTTCAATTCCTTGGACTATTTTGATTCAAGTATCCAATCTGGGTCAGTCACCAAGACCAGAGGTTTTGTCTTCCGAGCTTTCAGATTCGTGCTGGAGCCCATCTTTAGGAAACTTGTCTCTAGCAGAGCGAGTGCTGTTCACTCACAACAGGCACTATAAATATCACACACAGAATAGCACACACTCTGCTAAGGAGAAGTTCTCTGAAGTGTCCAATAGCTCGAAAGACAAAACCTTCGGTCCCAGTAACCTATCCAGATTGGATCCTGCAACATTATCTTGGGACACGTATTTGCCTTCATTCATATTTTGATTTCATTTGATTCCATAGAGTGCTGACCACTTGGGATAAAAGGAAATTTGATGACAATGAAATAGGATTTCTTTAAGAAGACACTGCTATATATGCCATATGGTATATATGCCATATAATATCATATCAAATCTTTGACTATATGGCTCAGTATTTGTTACATTAGCTTTCCTCATTAGCTTTTCCCTTCGTGGTGGTTCTGGCAGGAGACAAACACACTAATAGGGTCAAAAGTAATCATTTGTGTTGTTCAGAATCCTTACCCACTTTGTCTATAAGGCACCTTTGTCTCTTGTCCCTATGCCAGAGAAAGTCTGGCAAGGTTTCATCACATCAAAAGTTCCTTCCCTGAACCAAAAAGGAAGCTAGCAAGGAATTCTGTAACAGAGATGCTTGCTTTTTCAGTGGCCTTTTCTCTGCAGCATCTTTTATGATTAGGTAGGCAATATGGGTGAATCACATGGTGGCGACAGGAAGGGCATCTGGCCAGTAAACACTCAGCTCCATTCAGTTGCCCAGATTCCACTCTGCAAGGGATTATGGGGTCATTAAATGATGATGATGACGATGATGATGGGCGAATCACATGGGGGTTTAGCCTTCCCATGATAGCGCTGACTAGATAATGTTCATTTACTCCTTGACTAGGTAGTGTTCATTTACTCCTATGCAAGACTGGCTCTGCCTTGGGTTAAATATAACTGATTTTTGGGTGTGGTACGCTGTGCACTGAAATGTTCAAGGACAACAAGCCACTTTATTGTTTTGTGATTTAAAGATGTAAATTAGTAAGTATACTACAGCATATTTGGGCGGTGAAAACCAGACTATCACTACAGTGCCGCAAATGTGTTTGTACCTATCCTGGATTATTGTAGCTCAGGTATGCTATAATTATTCTGGGAGCCCTAGACCTAAGAGTAGACAAAGTGAGGCTCTTGAACTCCATTGGCCTCCATTGGTGTATGCATGCCCTTGAGCTGTCTTTGAACAATTGCCCCAAATTGTGAGCGTGCTTAAAGGCAAGAAACCCACAAAAGCTAAACATACACCATTCCAAATTGATTCATCGAAGCATCCTATCCCAAAAATTGCCTAAAAATCAAGAAACATTATTGAAAAAAATCCTCTTGCTTTTGCCCACATGCATGACAAGGACCCATCTGTTTTGCGCTACCTTTTAATAAATTAGTTTTCTTCACTTTATCTCTATTTTATTTATGTTTTAAAAATGCATTTTCTCCTGATAATGCAGAAGCAAGAGACTTTATTTCGACTGATGTGACTTGCAACAACTAATTTGACATCATCACGATGGAATTTCAAACCGCTGTGCAATAAACTTAAATTAGTTTGTCTTAAATCGTCTGGACTTTAAGGCAACAGCTACTTAATCTCAGACATGTTGGCATTTTCATTATTTGTCTGAACAAGTACATTTTAGATGGCTCAGTCTTCGGGGGAACTGCAGTAGGCAGGCTCAAAAAGCCTTGGCATTCACACTAGGATAACAATTGATCTTGTAGAGTACATTGTACTGTATACGTTGTAAAACTAATAATGTAAAGATAATAAAATGGTTGCCTCCTTATCCCATATAAAGAATCTCATTTCTTTTGAAATACCTTAAGACATTTTCAACAATGAAGTTACCTAATTTTAGAATGGAAAGCCTCCTTAAAGGTCACCATCTATGTGTTTTGCTGCCCACCCAGAAGGAGAGAGGAGGGGGGTGAGAGAAGCAGAGGAATAAATCCAGTCAGACTCCTACTCTGTGGGAGAAACTTGCAGTACTAACATTCCCAACAAATGACTCAACAGCACGCTTACAGTAATTATACCTAATTTCTCTGGCACGTGTAATAGTTATGCTTTTCTAGAGCAATAATTCTACTTTTCCACAGATTTGGGGTAATTTAAAAATGAATAGCCTATAATGGATCTAGAGGCCTACAGGCTACCTGGTGACTTAAAGTGTTCCATAATAACTATTCCACAAAGGGCCAGTTTGGTCTGTTTATTAAGGCACCAGGCTAGACTGTGAGTTCTAGTCCTGTCTTAGCCATAAAAGTTAGCTGGTTGACTTTGGGCCAGTCACTCTCTCTCAGCCCAAACTACTTCACAGGGTTGCTGTTGTTGTGGGTAAAAACAGGAGGAGGAAGGTGTGTTGGATATGTTCGCTGCCTTTTTTTTTTTTTTAATTTGATTTATATGCCGCCCTTCTCCGGAGACTCAGGGCGGCTTACAATGTGTTAAGCAATAGCCTTCATACTTTTGTATCTTTATACAAAGTCAGTTTATTGCCCAAACTGGGTCCTCAATTTACCTACCTTAGAAAGGATGGAAGGCTGAATCAACCTTGAGCCTGGCGGGATTCGATCTTACTTTAATTGCAGACAGCTGGTCTTAAATTACAGAACTCTGTCTGTTGAGCTATCCAGGCTCATTGAGTTGTTTGTAAAAATAACAAAGGCAGGATACAAATACATAAACACACAAATAAAGAAAAATAACTAAAATTGCCAATTCTTCCAATGAGAATTGGGATGTGGGATTCAGGGGAAGAATGAATTAGAAGTTTCTTGGTTCCCAGGCAGCCCTGGCCAGAAGTCCTTAGAAAAGCAAGGAGGTTAAGAAATATATTTTGTTTGAATGGTCCTAAAATGTAGACCTTCTACCCAATCTCCCTGGGAACTTCATCCAGTAATGTAAATTTGGCAGGAAAAATATGGAATGGCTATGCCAGATTATGTGTCTTTTTTTCCTAGTATTGCTTTAACTCTGTCCTATAGCCATATTTTTGGTATGTGTTTTTTATTCAAGTATTTTTATTCATCACAGTTTTAAACAACTCGTCTCTCTCACTGAGGCACTCTTGTCCCATTCTCTGTCCTTCCATCTCTCTGTTTGTCTACGCTAGTTTTGATATGCAGATCTTAGTTTCAAACACCTTCATTCTGCTCTCCTGTTTCCTCAAGTCTTTCTTTTGCTGTCCTTATTAAAACAAAACCCCTTTATTCTTTCTTACTTTAGTGCTGGGTTTTCTACCATGGTGCACTCCCCTACCACTTAAACCTTAATAGCCCTGTTTAGGATGGAAATTGGAGCTGTTCATTGAAAACTTCACTTCTGGTGAAGAGGATGGCAGATTCCCAGGCTAGAATTCAGCTGGCTGTCAGACTTTGAATTTGATGCAACTTTCCACACACTTAACATCTCCTCCCTAGTTAATATCTTTTTGGGTATAATGGAACCACTTTGCACAGTTGATTTTCCTCTGTCAATACAAAGTGCAAATTTTTGTATATATCTACAGCAGTTAATCAGCAGCTCTTTCTTCCATTTTATTCACAGTTTAATAAATTGTTTGCTTTGTGCTTTTCAACCTTGGAGCTAAATTACCATTGTTGGTTGGCATACAGATAACCCCACACTGTGTATCTGTCTTATTAATGCCACAAAAATGAAGAGCTGTTTTTGTTATTAAATTTGAAGGGGAGAAGTGATCAATGGAGGATTTGGTCTTGTCCTGGATGGGTCAACAGGTGCCGAAGAGCGTGCAAAGATGATGTTGAACTGGGATGTTTCTAATGGGGTAAGTAAAAATAGATCAATTTGAAATTGTACCTTTTAAAAGAAGTGTAAACTAATAGATTTTGTTATGGAACTTAGTAAATTTATTATTTATAGCAAAGATATTTGGGTAAATTTCTTTGCTACGTACCATATTTTTCGCACCATAAGATGCACCAGACCATAAGACGTGCCTAGGTTTAGAGGAGGAAAATAAGAAACAAAACTATCAGGAGGAGTCTGAGAGGACTACAGATAGGTGTCCTCTCATGTGCCAGCTCTGCCTAATGACTCCTGCACTGCGGAAAAGAAACAGAAGAGGCGGGCAATGACAAAGACAGAAGGGGGGGTTCAGCACTGTAAAAGGACCCGACCACCGCGGCCAGGCTGCTATTCACCAAAGGACCGGCACCCATTCCACCCACTTTTGAGGGAGGAAGAGTGCGTCTTATGGAGCGAAAAACACAGTATATTCTAATGATATACAATATATTACATATTTGATGTAATTTGGGGGGGGGATCTTCAGGATTTCCTTACTATCTGTACTGGATAATTACAGAATGAGGAACAAACTTTTCAGGACAAAATCCATATCACTTTCCTTTTTATGCTAAAGGAAGATGACATAGAATTTAAGATGATTCCGGTCGCTCCATCCTGAGGAAGTGCAAATGCAAATGCAAATATACCCAAATCTTGTGCTATATTCAGCTTCCCCACCTTGTCATCTTAGGGAGTTTCTTAATTTATTTTCAAATAAAATATATATTTTATGGCTAATGCTTTCATATTTATATTATACAAGCTCATGGCATCATAAAATCTTGCTTATTCCATTTACTGAAAGTTTATAACTTCCAAATTGGTTTTTCTGAACTAGAATACTGTGAGAATGTCATTCAAGGGGCACAAATACCATTATCTCACAATTCATGCATTCACACCCTGTGCTATCTGAACAGCTTGTATAATCATCATATTTCATAACTACAAGAGTAGGTAAGAGTAAAGCATATTGGTACTGTGATTTTTGACAGTAATTACATTAATCACCAAAATAGCACCAGCTTAGTAATATCTTATCAGTTATGAGTTTTCTGGATTCAACATCCTATCAAGCTGGTTCTTCTCCCATACTCCATTATATTGGTCTGGACTTGAGTTCCAAATAGCTTCCAGAAACCAACAGTGGTGTGTTAACTAGGCAGTTAATTGATAGCAGCAATAGCAGCGGCTCACTATTTTAAAGAATTTCCATTTGAATCAATCAAAGGAGCTGACTTTGCACAATATAATGACTGACAGTTAATGAGAGCATTTGAGGAGAAAGAAAGTGCCAATAGGGCCTCATTGGTCCCAACTTAAGGCAAAGTTTTGGTGCCTGCCATTCATCTGTGTCTTCATTGTCAACTGACTAGCTTTTATTATTATTGTATTTATATCCCTTCTTTATTTTGTAAAACTCTGAGTGAGGCACCCAGTGTTCCTGCTAGTGAGATGGGTTCGACTGAGAGAGACTAACTTAGTCACCCAGCAAATTTTCAGACCTAAGGGAAGACTAGAATGTAGTCTCCTCATTTCTAGTCCAGCACCATTTTTTTTAAAAAAAATTTTTTTGTTCTCTTGATGGTTATAAACTCATTGGTTAGAACCTAGATGACGAAGTGTAGGTAGCTGGCTATAGCCACAGCTGCTAATTAGGATGGGCAGTAAAGAAGAGGCTGAAGACATATTTGCCTTCGGCCCACTCAAACCTAGCAGTGCCTCTCAACTCAATTCAGTGTTGATTACATCTAGAACAGGGTTGTCAACTTGTGGCCCGTGGGCCGGATGCGTCATGTGCTAGTCACACCCATGCCCAGTTTAGCAAAGGGGGAAAAAAGTCCTGATACATCACATGACGCTACAGTGATGCCACGAGTTTGACACCCTTGTTCTAGAATAAGTGTAGACCAGGGATCTCCAACCTTGGCAACTTTACGATTTGTGGACTTCAACACCCAGAATTTCCTCACAAGCCATGCTGGCTGAGGAATTCTGGGAGCTGAAGTCCACAAGTCTTAAAATTGCCACAGTTGGAGACCTCTGGAGTAGACAGAGAGCACTTTGGGGTATTAATACCATCCTCTATTATGTAAAATCCAAACAATGTAGGTGCTTATTTTATTCCAGGGCTATTTTTTAAATTTAAAACTAGAGAAGGTTCTGTTATAACCTACTGATGTGAACAATATACTGCAAGTAATACCAGAGTTCTCCCAAACTTCATCTTTTTACATCCTTGCTCTGGCATACATACAGTAATCAGAAGAAATGTCATTCTATTCAGGGGTGAAATCCAGCAGGTTCTGACAGGTTCTGGGGAACCGGTAGCGGAAATTTTGAGTAGTTCCGAGAACTGGCAAATACCACCTCTAGCTGGCCCCAGAGTGGGGCGGGAATGGAGATTCTGCAGTATCCTTCCCCTGGAGTGGGGTGAAAATGGAGATTTTGTAGTATCCTTCCCCTGACATGCCCACCAAGCCACGCCCACCAAGCCACACCATGCCCACCAAGCCACACCTATAGAACCGGTAGTAAAAAAATTTGAATTTCCCCACTAATTCTATTTCCCAGAATCATTAATCTTGAATTAAACATATGTTAACTTAGCTTAGTGTTTCTCAACCTTAACAACTTTTAAGATGGCTGAGGAATCTTGGGAGTTGAAGTCCACATATCTTACTGTTGCCAAGGTGGAGAAACAGTGACATAGTTTGGCAGCTTCAGTGTACGAGGACTGAAATTCCTAAACTTTTCAAAGGCCACACTAGATGGGAACTCTGCCAATTGGCATACATCAGGAAAAGGCACCAAGGTCAGGGATAGTTATTATAGCTGAATAATTCAATATGCATGTTTTTCAAACATTGTCTTCAAGCAATATTTGAAGACAAGTTTGAAAATATTCAAACAATACTTTCCCAGCCATTGTTTCTAAATTCAGCATTAAGTGATTATATTTTCCATGAAATGCATTCATTACCGTGCACAAGAAATGACACAAATTAAAATAATACAGTGTGTTACAGAATATATTTGGTGTGCTATTCTTCTAATCCAAAGGAAGTAACCTCGCAAACATCTTCCTTATACCATGTCAATCTCTAAAAGATGTTATGCTGGAACATTTAAATTAGAACTAAAAATATTATCTTTATGATTCAAGTTATTTATTAAACAGTAACAGCTCAGATGCTACTGCAAGAATTTAAAGGAATCACTCAGTTTAGAAAAAAAATGTTACATGTATTTTTCTTAAAACAATATACATTTAAATAATTGGCTATCTTATACTTTAAATATTGTATCTACTCATTTTTATTCCATAAATGCAGGTTGCTAGACGTTGTTGGTCTGGTAACAGCAACGCTTATGAAACCATCTGTCAAGCCATGGACAAAGAGAAGAATCTGAAAGTGACACTTCCACATAAGGTGCTAGATGACAGCATCTTGGAACAAGCTCTGAGTTGTTAATTGTACAATCGTCGTTTATTCTGCCTTTTTTGAACCAGGTTCCAACTGCTACTTTCCTCTTGTTCTAGTCCAAAGCTCCCATTTGATGATACAATAAAAGAATGGTTGAATTTTATCTTTCAGGAATGTAATACTAAAATAAATCTACATTAGTAACATTGGTTTCTGCACAAGTTGAACATTAATGCAAGCTTTTCAGACGCAAGTCACCAAGTGATTTCTAATCTAGGAACTGGTTAATCTTGGTATGCTCTCTAAAATTAGTGCACAAACCCATTGTTATTTGATTAGAAATCCATGCAGAAAAAGCAACAGGCAACACTTTTTCTACTGCTAATCATGTTACTGCTTGCTGCAACTTGGGTTCTTTTTAAGATTTGTGGTGAAAACTCAGCATTATTGTATTTTGCTGACATCTCTTCTCCTACCCTCAACTTCACAGCAAAATCGGACTCACGCTGAGGAACATTCAAAATGCATTTTGAAAAGCCTTGATTTCAATAGTGTTTTTTTGGCTGATTTATATGGAGACTAAGGATATAGAATATGTTTGTGTTAGCTCCCTAACAATTCAGTCTGTTGATTTCCTCTTTGTTATATCTGGGTGAGGAGCAGCTAATCACATGGTCCAATGTTTATTCAGGTTTCTGCTTTTTTGCCCATATTACAGTGAGGAAATTGTCCCAACCAAATTGTAAGTTCACTTTTAAGTGTTATAGTTGGCTTTTAGTTTTGTATGACTTGGGACAAGTCTATCTGAAAGGGGGAAAAAAACCATTCTCCCTTATGGGCCTGGTTAAGTTTTAAGATCATTGGGAGAGGCTGTTATCATGATTTGATCAGAGGTTTATTTGAAAGAAACACAAGAAGGAGCCTTTTCAATGGCTGTTTATAGGCTTCAGAATGATCTGCTAAGAAGGATCAAGATTGATTTCTATTCTTTATCCTTCTACAGAAAGGCTTTTTCCCCATATAAGCATTTTCCAGATAAAGTCAGCTGGTTTGTCTCTTGGCTGGTGTGATAGTGGCAATTTAAAATAACATTTTACTTATTTAACTGTGTTTTTCTTACTTGCTCTCTTGTATGCCATAGGTTTCTGGAAAGAAAGGAGCAGATGATATTTCTAACTTTTAATATCATTAATCTTCTTAGCTACAGTAGTTCTCAACTTACGACCACAATTTGGTCCAGAATTTCTATTGCTAAGCAAGATGGTTGTCAAATGAATCATGCCTGATTTGATGGCCATTTTTGCCATGGTTGTTAAGCAAATCACTACATCTCTTAAATGAATCATGTGGTCATTAAGCAAATCTGGTTTCTCCATTGATTTTGCTTATTGAAAGCTGGCTGGGAAGTTTGCAAAGTGGTGATCAGAGGACCCCAGGATGCTGCAACTGTTGTAAATACATGCCAGTTGCCAAGTGCCCAGATTTTGATCATGTGACTGTGGGGATGATGCAATGGTCATAACTCTGAGGACCAGATGTAAGTTACTTTTTCAGTACCATTGTAACTTCAAACATTCACGAAACAAATGGTTGTAAGTTAAGGACTACCTGCACTTGAGAATTCCTTATACAGCCGGCAGGCAGCAGAAGGAGCCTGCAGAATACAATTGTGGCTGCTACTTGGAATGGATGATAAAATTATCCTTGACTGCATATGGATAATTTTTTTCCCCACTTACATTGCTACAGTAATGGATTCTACTCCAGGCTATCACTGAGATGATGCATATCTTAAATCATGAAAATAATATCAGAATATTTCTAACTTGGTGCCAAATAATCCCACTGACATTGTTCAATTTCCTGCATTTTTCATATTTTGTATTTACCAGTAATTTTAAAAGCTTTCAATTTTATTAGAGAATGATTGCATATACCGTTGAATACAGCTACAGTCAACATATGGGCTGTTGGGTCTGTGCTCCGAACTTGATAATTTAGTTGAAAACATTTCATCATCATTCGAGGAGACATTCTCAATGATGAAATATTTGCAACCAAATTGCCAAACCCGGAGCACAGCCCAACAGCCCAACTACCAACTTGAGCTACTTATATTCAGATACATTTCAACAGTCAACATATTTCAGCATCTCACTTGGAAGTTGGTGCCTGAACATTTTAAAGTTGGATACTTTCACTTTAAAAATGTACTGTGGATTTAAAGTACGGGATCTTCAGTATTCTATGTCTGAAATGTTCATACCAACATGCCAGATTTATTTCTTGTCATCCTGAATTTACATGAGCATACCGAGTAACTTTCATACCTAGGAGTTAGCCGAGTAGCAGACTGCAGTTTGGCTCTGATTTAGAAGGGGCGGTGAGACATAGGTAAAAAAGTGATCATGTGAAGTGGGGGCTGGATATCATATACTGCATCAGGCAAAGAAAAGCCAGAGATGGATGAAGATCTTTCCTCACTACTGATTTACAGTGCTCTTCATATCTCCTAGAACGGGTAGAAAACTATGAGGTGAAGGTGGCATCATGGGATTATGTAGGGGGGGGAAAGGTTGATAGACGTTTGCACTGTCATGAAACGCAAGTGGACATGGCCAAGATGTGCTGTGATTATTGTTAAAAGTGAGATTTACTCTTTGATTTGGAAGCTAAACAAAGTAATTTTAATCTCCTTCAAAAATGTGGTTTTTGCAAGCATTTTGTTCCACAGATCCATGGCAATAATTTAAAAGCTAAATTATAAGTGAATCACTCCTTGTTCATCAGTCTAAGCTAGTTCTACACCAAATCCATTAGCTTGGAGAAAAGTATCAAGTGGAGTGTCACAGGACTCTGGGCTGGACCCATATTGTTCCACATTTTTATTAATGACTTGGCCAAATGGGAAGTTGGATAGGATCATTTTCTGTTTTAACGATGACATTAAATTAGGATCAGTGCCTAATGCTTTAGAAGAAAAAGGAAAGATTAAAAAAAAACCTATATGGGTTGAAACCATGGCCTGAACAGAATTTAAGGAGAAATATAAATTCCTGCACCAAGAGAAGAATAATGAAAAGCACAAGTATAAGATGGAGGAGGTGTGATTTGGCCAGAGTCCATACCCAAAAAAATCTGGGTGTTCTATCTAGATCACAAATTTAACATCTGCCAATAAAGTGATGTAGCTTTTAAAAGGCAAATGCAATTTTGGAATGTATTAAAAGATGTAGGATCCAGATCACACAAAGTTCCACTCTAGTCTTCCTTGGTCAGAGTCTAAAAAAGGCATAACTGGAATAATTTTATAGAAGATCTATCAAGATAGCAAGGGTAATGGAAAAAAGTACTGTGGAGGAAATGGGTATATTTAGCCTGTAGTAAGGGAGATATAATAGCATCCTTCTTCTGTCCAAAGTGTTTTTATGCAGAGAGAGTAGACTTCTGAGTTAAGAAAATTGCTGACAGTAAAAGCTGTCAACCAGTAGAATAGGCTCTGTTTCATGTAGCAGTAGCAATAGCACTTAGTCTTATATACCGCTTCATAGTGCTTTAGAGTCCTCTCTAAGTGGTTTACAGAGTCAGCATATTGCCCCCAACAATCTGGGTCCTCATTTTACCACCTCGGAAGGATGGAAGGTTGAGCCTGGTGGGATATAAACTGCCAAATTGAAGGCAGCTGGCAGTCAGCAGAAGTAGCCTGCAGTACTGCACTCTAACCACTGGACCACCGAGGCTCAGATGATGTAGTGATCATGTTGTCTTTCATTAGAGATCTTCAGGTGCTGGGTAGCCATCTATCCAAAATGTTTCAGCAGATCTTGCAGAGAATGGTGGTAGTGGCATGGACTAGTGTGAAGTCCCTCCCAACTCTGATTCCTTGAAACATTTCCAGTAGGTATCTTCTTAGTAACTGATAGAGGCAGTCTTACTTGGCAACTTCAACAATATCAACTAGTTATAGACAAGAGATTAGAATGAGATGCCATAGGAATAACCAAGGAAAGCTGGTCACGAGAGATGAGAAACATGGAGAATTGCAGTATGATGGAACTGGGGGCACACATTTTGGAAAAATCAACTTTTACCTAGGAAGCATAACATATGCTACCTTTCCTGCAATACAAAGTAATGTAGATAGTCCTCATTTAGTGACAATTGGCAACTCAATTATTAAGTGAAGCAGTCACTAAGTGAAACTGCAACTGGGCTCGTGATCTTACTCCAGCCTGTCTTTGATTTACAGTCCTGCAAAGGTCATAAATGCAAGGATTGGTGATAAAGTTACTTTTTCATCACTGTTGTAACTGTGGTCACTAAACAATATAATTGCTATGATCAGACACACAAAACAGATGATTATGTCTTGAGTTCAGGATAATATGTGAACCCAAGGATTTTGATTTATAAACTATGATTTGTTGTTTAAATCTTTGTGACTACAAGTATTATAGCTTAGTAAAACAAACCATGCAGTGTTAAATTTGTCAATTAAAAGCTAGCTATTCCGCATGTAACATTTTTGAAAGTAAGAGATAACAAATTGCTAGAAATGTAGTAACCAATCAGTAAAATCACTGGAATATTGGAGCACCTTTGGCTTTTCAATATTAGTTAAGATGTGTGTTCAGCTTCATTTAAAACTACAATGGCCTATTTAGCAATGAATACAATAATTAGCTTATTCGCAAACAGATACAAGGTAATATAGCACCACCTACTGTTTGAAAAATATAAGAAAAAATTACCGTACAATACTATATTGTAACTAATAATGTGAGAGAGGCAGTTTGGTATATAGATAGTTCTTTTATTGCAACTGTAATGTAGCCTGTCCCTTATGGTTGAAAGTTTGAACATTAAATGAATTGCCTCACTTAACTCCCCATCCCTGCTCTCCCCGGGGGTGCTAGATATCGCATATTTGTTTTCATTTCAAGTTACAAAATAATGATGGCGTTTATGTAGTGAAATCAACTACATAACTCACTCAAAATTTATACAAAAGCAAAAATCCATGAATAGAAAATGGGCTTATGGCTTATCATAGTGTATATATACAGTGCAATACATGTTAATCCGATCAAATGCATGTTAGAATATTTTTTTAACTTCACTGAAATAATGGGGTGAAATCCATAATTACAGTGGGGCAAAAAAGTATTTAGTCAGCCACCAATTGTGCAAGTTCTCCCACTTAAAAAGA